GCTGCGGAGAGGGAGGTCTGGGCCTCCCTTCTGAAGCTGCTGCCCCCGCGACCCGACCCCGGATAGGCGGAAGAAAATGGATAGATGGATGGATGTATGGATGAAAGACAATATAATGAACAGGGAAAAAAGATTTTAAGAAAAACAATCAATCAAACTACTTAGTTCTTGCAGTATCATAAAGAGCCGAACAAACACAACAGATCTATTCAGAAAACTAATACTCCATTTTATAGATATGTAAATTATTAGTAGGCTCATTGATTTAATTGAAGAAAGCTAAAACAAATAAATATTGTATTTCAATATTGAAAACTAAAGAAAAAATAAAAATTGATAATACTTTTACTGGGTTTTAAATGTATATTTAGATTTTACAGAAAACCTCGGATCATCTGAGATAAACTGAGATAAAGATTAATGTATACTATRTGCAATACACATTCTGAAATACATCTATATCATATCTATATCATAATCACTATTTATCAGCGGTGAAATACAGTATCTACACGTTGTTCACCATATTTGGACGGTTTCTTCTCATTCTAAGAATTTCATTGCGTTGACTTTTGTTAAMCTGCAGAAAATCAATCTTGAATCCTGAACTGTGCCTCCTCGGCTGCCGTACTTTCACAAGCCCTGCCCCTTTGTTTGCTTGTTAGCCGCTAACGCTAGGAGAAGAGATGGCTGAATATTCAAATGTAAAATCAACTAAGTTGGTTTTGAAAGGTCTGAACAAAGGGTAAGTTTATTGTTTCACTGGTTTTATCAATTCAGATTAGTTACACTTAATTTATGGTTATTGATAWAGGTTCTCAGCGATCTAGCTTTACTAAAACCTTTAGTTCAGGCTAAAAAGAGACGTAGCCTATGTCAAATGGCTCTCATGAATAATAACTTAGTTTGTCTTTCATTAGCTTTAGACTGATGTTATATGTGATTAGTAGAGTAATGATAGTCTTGTACAGTTATTGATCTTGTAAAAAAATTAATAAAAACACGGAATCTTGACATACGTTGTAGTTCGAGATGGTTTTATGAGTTTTAGCGACGGTAAAGCGCAGATCTTATGCGACTCATTAACAGTGAGAAGTAGTAAAACTATTAGTGAAATGAAACAAATTAGATAATGTAAAGAATATGCCACGGTCCCCCACTGATTTGATTCCATATTTTGACTGTTTGCCTGTCTGAACTGTATGCACTCACCTAATTACGAAATGTGAACATTTTTAATGTTTCTTTACAGAAAAAAGAAGAAAAACAAGGATAAAAAGAGGAAAGCTGCAGATGAAGGAGACAAACTTGATGTTATTGGTAGATGCATGTGCTAACTATTTCTGAAGTGAAATAATCTGCTAATGAAAGGCCTTTTATTTTGGACKTATGATTGTATTGACAGATATGCCACCTATATACCTAACCATAACAAATTAATGTAAATGTATTTATTTTAACAGAAATGCACATCTAATTTTTAGTTGTTTATTGTAATTATAAAGATGTGTTTCTGACTTTATCTTAGAAATATATTCAGTTATAATATTATTTATTAGTTTTTTATTGACTATTGACTTTAGGGTTTTTTCCTCCTTTTTAGGTGGTTGGTGGTGTGTCAGTAGTTTTGGAGACATCACAGGGACAGTTGCAATAGAAATGCAGAACAACTCGTACATCCATGCCTTAGATACTGGCCTCTTCACGCTGGGTGCGCCACACAAAGGTAAGAAACTGTAATCATGGCCATTACAGTGCATGTCAGGATTGCTCCATTGTTGAATTTTTCACTTTCAGGGTGTACGTCAAAACTTCCTGTGAACTGTAAATAAACCTTTGGGAAAGCACAAATTCTTTATCTAACGTTTGAAAAGCTCAATTTGTGTATAAATTAAGGGGCATTATTAAGGTTAAAGTGATTTCTGAGCTGTTTCTAAGTAAAGAGAACATGCAGTAAACTGAGTGTTTCCAAAAAAATGTGAGTGTGAAAACTAGAATAAGGACGATTTTAATAATTCAGTTGAATTACTTAATAACGGATCTTAAAATATGTACTGCAAAAATAATGACAAGCACAAGAATAAACCACAGTTGCTGTTGCACATAAATAATTAATAATTGTATTGTCAGTTCTGAGTATACCTCATCAGACCTGCTTGCTTGAATATCTTATAGTTCAGACAGGAAGTAAGGAAAATGGGGCATAAATCTCTCCTCCTGTCACTAATGTGTCTTTTCATACATTAAAGCAATCTTCCGATTTGTTTATTCCTAGTTTTTGTCATGGTAGTGAAGCAAGGAGAGCAGTCATTGTCCATATACCTAGGAGGGACTCTAATGACTCTTAACATGTGGGTTCCAGATGATTGCACTGGTTTTAATAAACACAAACACCCAAGAGAGAACAAGGAATTGAGAACCCCAGTCAAAATAAAAAGGGAGGAACCTGAAACCAGACAGCAGTTGATCATCTGATTCGGACCACTCCTCTAACCCTATAATCCAGGAAACGAAAAACAATCCTTCAAAAACTAGGAAAGCAGTACTGCCAGTAATTCCCAAACTCCGCTAATAATTACAACCATTAACAAAAAGGGACATGGTGCAAGGCTGGCATCTATYAAGAAAGGAGCGAGCGTGGAGATGGAGAGCAGGACCGGGAACCAACAGACATCAGACCAGTTCATCCAGAGCTTGTTCTGTTCTGGTTTAAAGCTTTAACAGCCAATCAGATCTGGAAGCAGAGGGCATTAATTAAACAGACAATCATTTGCAAAAAGTGACAAAGGAGCATGTAACAGGAGCAATGTCGATAATTTTGTGGGGAAAATAATTCAGCTGAAAAGAATCAAAGTACAAAACAAAAGTTAGAGCAATATATCTGCTCATAAAGATGGCTTTTTCAAGTCATAATCAAAAATTAGGCCTTTGTGGGAAGAAAGATAGCTTTTGGCTTCAGTAAGGTGGTTAATCTGGACCCTTGGCACAAAAGGTTGTAAAGGGGTTGAGTTGAGGAGAAGGCGAAGAGTTCTTACTTATTTCTGCCTTTAGGCTTTTCCGAGGGAGTGGTGCTCCTTCTAAAAGAGACGCTACGGACAATTAATTCAGGCCATGTTCGCAAGCACAGTAGAATATGGCTGGGAGATTGAAACATCCTATTCCCTTAGTGTGCCTCCATACTCTGCATGCACCTAAGCCCATTTCTAAGAGATGAAAGAAACCACAAACTAGCAGAGTAGAACGAGAGATTAGGGATTTATTTCTTTTTAACTGCACTTTTTTTTAACCCTGACACCACACTGAAGATGTTAGTCTTTTAGGTCAGTGGTTCCCAACCTTTTCCCCTCAGATCCTTCCTTCTTGCACACAAAAAGTGTAGTTGCAAAACTGTTCATGCTCACCTTCAAGTCAGTGGAGCCCTGAGGATACCAGCCCAGCCAGTCACAGTTACAGACACATTCTGGAGTTGAGTCTTTTCTAAGAACAGAATCTCAGATCTAACCTGAGGCCTCTGTGTTGAACAACACATTTCTCCACCTTTCAGAAAGGGTCTTTATTACAGGGTGTTGTAAAATCTCACTGATTTCAGTTTCACGTAAAGTGAAACGACACACAACAGCTCCAGTTAACAGTAACACTTCTGTTATTGTGACATTTGTTTGCTGAACTGAAACCAGATCAGCACAGCATCATGCAGCCTTAATTATAAGTATTGCTATTTTCAGCAGCCACGATACCACTGAGTGTGAAGTCCTTCAGRTAAAAGTTGTCTGATGTGTTTCAGATGATGAAGGACCAGACCCCCCAGAACAGTTTTCTGCCATCAAGCTCTCAGACTCACGGTGAGTCCACAAAGATGAAGCAGACKTTGTATTTGCGTCCTGCTCAAATTGAATTCATACCCCAAGTGAACTTTTTCTAACACTAAAGATGTTTGACAAACAATTTGGAGGATAGTTGTCATGAAGGAAAACATTYTCTTAGGAAAACCAACAAGTTAATTTAAGGTTATTTGTGTTTGTTTTTGCAGGATGGCTTTAAAATCTGGATATGGAAAGTACCTTGGCATCAACTCTGAGGGTTTGGTGGTGGGGCGCTCTGATGCCATTGGCTCAAGAGAACAATGGGAACCAGTCTTCCAGGATGTCAGTAAACCTTCTAATATTTCTTCAGTTAAGCTTTGTGGACGAAAAGTTTGATAAAAATATGTGGGCTTATATTTACACAAAATACTTATGGGTTTATAGATCTTAACTTTCTGGCAATTCTTTTTGCTTTTTCCTATTTATTTCTGTGAAACTTTTGTTGTTCAGAAATTCAGTGAGATAAAACTATTAAGAAAAATCTTTTTGAATCCCATTGGAGACTGGAAACAGACTTACTGCTGAAAGCATCTTGATTAAAATGACAATGGCTTTAGTTCTAATTGCCTTCATTATCTGAATGTCTTCAACAAATACTTCAGGGACTCGTTGGGTTTTTCAATTGTGTAAAGCCATTTAACAGCTTCACTGTGGCTTAATCGTCCAAGCAGATAGTTTTGGTTTAATTTGTTTTGGAAAAACAGAAACAAACTTAAGCATAATTTTGTTGACTAAATCTACTATTTTCTTATTTGTTTTCTAAAAATAATACTAAAAGTAGCAACATAATCACAAAGTTTAATTAGCTGTGTTTACATCAATGTTTTTTATGCGCATTTTGATGTGTTACATTTAGGGGTGTAAGAAAATATCGATACACTGAAATATCATGATATTTCATTTCCCGATACTGTATCGATATTCTAAAGCCCTGTATCGATTTTTARTTAAKGTTTAAAATGTCAACCTTCTTGCCAACCATTCATTTTTATGTTGTAGTTCAGCCTCTGACCACTAGTTGGCAAGCAGTGGGCCAGCCATTTGGCTCCTCTACCTCTTGTGCACCAGAGAGTAAGGGTAGCATTAGCATTGTAAGTAAACATTAGCTTTTCTTTTCTTTTTTTTTCAGTAAGAGGTTTTTATTTAATAGAATTTTTGGACAAAAAAATCGCAATATATCGCAATATATTGCCTTGCTTACAGTATCGCAATATATCGGGATATATCGTATCGTGACCCCTCTGTTATGATATGTATCGTATCACCAAATTCTTGCCAATACACAGCCCTAGTTACGTTAGAAAAAGTGGATGGAAATGGCAAAATTCCCAAAAAAGTCCTCAATTTCGCAAAAATTGTTCCCGCTGTCCAATAATTCTACCTGCTGCGACCTCAGCTGGACCCTCCACCCGCTGTCGCCGTCTTCTCAGATATTCCCGTAACGTGAAGAGAATTGCATTTTTTTTTACTACATCTTCAGACAGCATGTAGCATCGCCAATACTAGTTGATATGACAGAATTACAATTTCCTGACAGCAACACATTCCTGAAAACCTCTCTCCATTGTCTTAAGATATGTAGTCCCTGCAAGTTTGCGATCTGTACTTCCTGTTTACTACAGCCATGGGTAACATGAACGTCTGACATAATTACACTTTGCGTGACCTGGTTGATTCGCTCTAAGCCAGTTGATGGGAACAYGTCTGATGCACATTTTTTTTACAACATGGTAAAAGTTTGCTCAAAATTCATATGAAAATTGGATGAAAACAGGGCTTCTGACACACTATTGACTGTTTTTACTGTGTCAAATGGTTCAAATTCATGTTAGTTGGCATATTAACATAATTTAACCTATTATCAGTGGGTAGATTTATATACAGCACAAAAAGTGAAGAAAAAAACAAAGTGAACCTGCAACATTGTGTTTGAAATTATTAAAACTTTAAGGGGATATTTCACAATTATTAAAATTGTTTTTAGCAAAAAGGTTTGAAGCCACAAGAAAAGACTGGAGCTTGAAACTATCTGACAGGAATTTCCTGAAATTAAAGTCAAAACATTTGGCATCAAGATTTCAAAAAACACAAAAGCTGTCTGAAACTAGAAACCTGTCTGAAGGCTGGAATGACGTGACCTCTATATATTCCAAAGAGATTATCAGAAATTGTTTTTCATAACAAACACAAATTCAAGAACTGTTTACAATCCTACTGTAAATTTTATCTACAGTTATCGGATGTCATTAGTTCAAAACTATATGACAACAAATATCAGACTATTAACATATTATTGTTATTATCTAAGTAATAGATTCATGGTTCAACAATTTGTATCATTTTCACAATGACTTTGTTCAGCACAACTTAAACTTAGCTGTTATAAAAATTTATCTAACAGAAATGAACCCATGTGATATTGTTTTTGGGCCTTTTTTTAAATCATAAATAAGTTTTTTTCTTTTATGTTTGTCACAGCAATAACCCCACTGCAGTTGTGTTCAGTCGCTGCATCTCCTCTGTGTGTTTTTTTTTTTTTTTTATACTTCAGGGTAAAATGGCTCTCATGGCAGCAAATAGCTGCTTCATCTCCTACAGTGACAATGGGGACATTGTGGCCGAAAGCAAGACAGCGGGGGACAGCGAGATGCTAAAGGTGATGGTTTATTTTGTGTTTTTTTCTCCAAGGTTGCATGTCAGTCCTTTGATTTTAGGCACGACATCTCTGCAGGGACTTGTCAGGTTAAAGGGTTTATGGAATATATTTGTGACCTCCCTTAAAGAATGTCAAGGTGTTATTTTAATGCAGAACTTCTCTCTCTTTTTTTTCTTCTTCCGTCTGATGAGCAGATCCGAACAAACACAGAACGAGAGGCCAAGCGTAAAGATGATATTGCAGATGAAGACAGGGGCAACGTGAAATCCTGCGAGATCAATTATGTGTAAGTATCTTCCACTTTTAATAAACATTCTGCTCCATTAACTCAAAGACTGCCCARTGAAATAAAACCACACAGGAAACCAAAACCACATTTGATTCATTTGCATATATTGCTATATCTGTAATTAACAGTTCTGCAGTCCTTTGGGTATACACTCACTGTGAAATGAAGACAATCTTATGTTGGCTGGTTTTTGYATATATTGTTTTTATGCATATTAGATAAAGAGGCCTAAATACACTGTATAGTTAASAGTGAAAGCTTTTCAGAAACATGTTGAAAATGTTGAGCTCAGTACATGGATAGGTAGATTAGCAACATCATTATAGCTATATAACAACAACARCAGCAGCAATAATAATAATATATAGTTCATTTTTAGGCCCAGTTTGGTAAGTTCCTGAAGTGTTTTATTTGCTAAATATAATCTGAATGAAACAAGGAAAAAGTTTTTTCAGTAAAGTTGATGTAATTACTGAAAGCACAATGAAAATTGGTAAATTGGTACGATTTTAACAAGTTTTGAGCTTCACTATAATCCTACAATCCTAAAATAAATGTGGGACATTTCACAGGTAAAAACACTTCACTTGTTATTTTTACCTGTGAAGTTGCTCGTGTGTTTTTTTTACTCTGTTTATTAAGCACTATTTATTTTTAGTTGCTCAGACCTTATTTGTTTATGCTGTTTCCTGTGAATTGTTAAATTTGTAAAGCAAATGTGGTTTTGTTTTAAATACCGGAGTGTTGTTGAATTAATAACAGTTCCTTGTCTTTCTCTACAATCAGATGTTTTATAATTTAAGGAACGACACTTTGCACCTTCTTTTTAAAACCAGCACTAAAGCTCTTTATGCAAACAGAGAGCCAAAACACACTGATTTTTTTTTTTTTTTTTTTTTGTCTCCCGTTCTTCTCACATTGCGTCAATTTGAACCGGCAAGATTTTGACAACCAAATTGCACGCTCCAACGAGATCGCGCCTTTAAGCATCTGCCTCATCAATCCCACGCCTCCGAGGTGCAATTGACGGTCTGTTGTTAGTGTGTGATGAGAGAGCAAGCAACACCACATATCAGCTTGTGATGCTTTAAGTGTGTTATATACAAGCCTGTCTGAGGCCTATTAAGTTCCACACAATATGTCTTGAACATTTTTTCTTTTTTTCTTGTTTCTTTGACATGCCTCAGATTGTGTTTCCTCTCAGTTGTTGTGTTTGTTTTAGATGAATGCTAGGGAAATGGACTCATCATGCTGACATGTTGATAATGGCTGCCCTTGAGCCTTTGTCTTGATGTAGTGTTTAGCTACTTTACAAGATGGAGTGCAGTCTGGGAATCATAAAACACAGGCTGGGCAAAGAAAAACTAAAGTTGGGAGAAGTTTCTGATAAGCAGGGACTGTTTTATGACATATGGTTGTATATTCCTTAAACATCCTTTATTCAATAGCTTCTGGTACCTTTCACTATTTTCTAGTAGAAATCTTCAGTTATAGCACACACAAAAAAGGCTTCATTTAGAGCAGGGGTGCCCAAACATTTTCMCTGAGAGGGCCAAAATTAAAATCAGTCTGAGGGCTCTGGGCCAAATGCAATATAATAAATGCAAATATTTCTTAAGTAAACTTGTTTTGTTTTTTTATGATTAAGCTAGCAGCCAGTGTGGTTGCCCACATTCTTTAGGCTTTTTTTTTTACCCCATGGACACGGAGAAAATTCAACGTATGCTCAAACAGCAAAGACTCATGGAATTCATAATTTAAATTTTGAGTATATGGGGTCTTTTAAGGTGTGCAAATCTAGATGTGGGCTTAAATCTAATCTAAATGTCTGTTGTAGTTATTTGTATTTTATATTTAATCGTAACATAATTACAATCTAGTAATCCGGACAGCTGCTGGTGGGCCAAATGAAATGGCTTGGCGGGCCAATTTTGGCCCACGGGCCCCACTTTGGGCACCTCTGATTTTAGAGTAATAATRATTAGCGGAACTCATGCTGCCTCTGTTGTACCTTTCTTATGTGTCTGAAGTGGAAAATAACATCTCTTGGAAGTCACTCAGCTCTATGCTATTCGGTTGTCATTTTCAGAATATAAGTAATCTCCTGAAATTCAAACTAGATTACTTTATTTAATTAAGCTATTTATTGCCTTGACGTACAACAATGAACAAGGTACTTTTAAATGTTCATTTGTCCCGTCAGTCTGTTTCTGTTTCACAGTTGAATATAGCTGATGTCTGCCTTGCAGGAAGAAGTTTCAGAGCTTTCAGGACAGGAGGCTGAGGGTTAATGAGGAAGACTCTGTGACCCTGAAGAAAGCCAGGACAGATGGGAAATTCCACGAAGCTTTGCTCGACAGGTAAGAAACAAGAGCACTCTAAAAATGTGTCTCTTCTCAGGTCAAGTGTTTTTCATTTTTTATAAAAATGTTACAGATCTGAACCTAAACGTTCTGAGTTTACAATGTCTTTTTATATTACAGGAGAAGCAAAATGAAAGCAGACAGGTACTGCAAATGAAGCCTCGGTGGACAACTGCTCAGTTTGATTAATGTTTTCATTTTGTAGATGTGATTATTTGAAATGGCTGTTTTACTTTTTATATATATTCAATAAACCCTTTATGGTTAAACTAGGACTTCTCCGTGTTTTTATGCTCTACAACCACTTTATATGCATGTTTTGTGTCGAGCTTTATGAGTTTCAGGTGACCCAGTGGCCTTTTCTTGTATTAATAATTTACCTTAATGTTCCATTGCTCTGGAGAAACTGTAAAAAACATTGAGGTTATACAAGTCATGTATGTTTTATTTGCCTCGAGACCAACATAAACAAATGTGTTTCATTTATTTATGCTGTGACTGTTTGACTTCAGGCTGCGACACTTCGATTTTATGAAGAATTATTTTGTGTTAAATCCACCTACGTGAGTCAGAATGYGGGAAGATTAATAAAGGAAATTTTAGCCAGTATCAGAGCTATAGGGATCTTTGGCCCAATGACCAATCATTCACCAGTGTCTCTGGTTCCAAGGGATCGTGAGGCTCTGTTATATACAGTATATTAGTGGTAAAATTTGCTTTAAAAATGACTTGCATAAAATCATGTTTTAAGAAATGACTTATTTGTGACAAAATAAAAGGTTGAGTTGATTGTGGGCTGACCGCTTCCAAATAACTTCAATGTCCTGGATTTGTTGACACAAGTGAAAGCTATTAGTTTAATGAACATATTGTTACTGTTCACCACCAAGTGTAGTGTGTCTGCTATAGTCGTATAAGCAGTTAAATATTGTCACTTTATAGGTTCATTTTTAAAAAGGACACATTTGCTAGTTACAAGATGTAAGAATAAGGTCTTTCATAGAAATTTTGCTAAAGAAAACTTGTACTTGTAGTTTATTTTTCCCTCCTACTTTTTCAATTTTCTGTTTTTTTTTTTTCTCACTCCGTAAACTCTTTTTTTTTTCCCCAACACGCCACAACTGGACATAAGGTCAGGACTTTCATGTGTGAAGATGATTTTTAATGTTCTTTGACCATCTCAATTGATTCCAGACATTGTTATTTTGGAATTTAGCTGTGCCTTCAGGAGTGAAAGAAAAATCTATAAAMCTGGAGCCATGACTTTTTAAAAACACTCCAGTGTCCAATCTTTGTACAGTTTAGCAAACTGAAGCCTGTTTTCTTATTTAATTTACTGTACTTACAGATGAGTTCTAATTAAAAAAAAGGCTGCTAAGTTCCAATAATTTGATTCGAAATCACCGTGTGTGGAAACATGTTGGTAAATTTTATTCTCATGTTTGTGAGGAAAAAAAATGTTATTCTGGTTTTATACTCTGAGCTGTAATTGATAAACATCCTGTGAGATGATCGAGTAATTGAATGGAGATTGTACCCTTTCTCACAGAAGACCAAATCCAAACATTAATAAGAGYATTTTTCTTCTAAGTGAGAGTTTTAATGACTTTCAGTCTGGAAGTAAAAGGGTGGCAGCAAAGGTCAACAGTGAGACCAGCCGTGTTGTATGCTTTGAAGACTGTTGCACTGACAAAAAGACAGGAGACGGAACTAAAAGTGGCAGAAATTAAGATATGTTTCTACTTGAGAAGGACAAGGTTGGATAAGATTAGGAATGAGAACACCAGAGATACCACACAGGCTGAAGGACAGGGAGATAAAGTTAGAGAGGTCTGACTGAGATGGTTTCGACATGTCCAAAGGAGGGACGGGGGTATATTAGTAGGATACTAGACTCACTAATATCTCTAATTTAGAGATGCAGCTGAGCTGCCATGAAAGACACGATAGCAAAATAGGATGGATGGATATATATATAATTTATATTTATACATTATATATATATATATATATATATATATAGTGTTTATAATATATATATAGTGTTTATAAAAAAAAGAGCCTTTTGCTTCACAATCTGTCCATGTTGTCTTAAAGTGTAGATTTAGATTATATAAAACCAAATGTAAAGAAGCCTTGAGATTAAACTGGTTAACAAACATGTTAGGACACTGTTCAAACAAAAAAAAGCGGAGTCACATGAGGAAATGAATGTTATCAACATGTGGTTTGCTGGAATGTACCACTTTCCTGAGACTGAAGGGGGGTTAGAAGTGTTTATTTTGTTCGTGTGGGTGTTTTACTCATAGTTTAGCAAATGTAGATAAATTAGTGAATAGTCAAAAAAAACATGCTAGCGAACTGTTTGTCATTGTTGCATTTAAATCAATTTTAAGGGAAACTTTCTCCTTAGCATAGTGGTTCAGTCTGGAGTCACGCGGTTAAACAAAAGTAACTTCCGCAATTACCTAAGATAAAAACAACAAGCCAAACTGTCCAACATTAGTCTTTCAAAATGGGACACTTTACTCTTCTTATTTTGGCAGCTTTTCTCTCCTTCACGTCCACACAGTTTGTACCACCGGTAAGCGACACTTCGGCTAGTTGTTTACTTGTTTACTGACAAGCACCGTGAGTTACAGTGTGATACAYGTCTGCAGTTTGGTTGTTTACAGCTTTATGTGTCATCTTATTGCAGTATACAGAAGACTGTCGGACAGRCATGTACCCACCGAAAGGTCCCACGTAAGTATCAGAAATACTGGAAGATAAATTAGCCCAGTTACTGATGTGGCTTCCACTTAGCTCTGCTGAATTCACTGTCTCCTGTAAATAACATTATTCACCTWTAGATCAGCGCATTAGCAGGAATGACATCTACCGGTATATACWTCCTCAAAGATGCAAAACGTGTTCGGACTCTTTTTGAGTGGTTATTGTACTTTGTAACTAGTGCTAACTAGTCTTTTGTAACTAGTTAGTTGCAGTAAAATAGGATGATGTCCAAAAATGTTCAGTTTTCAGTTTGTCCGTGGTGAACACAAACTCCTCCATCAGTTTTTGCATCTGTGTACTTTAAAACTATCTTTTTAAATGCATCAAAAATTTATATGATGAGTAATAATAATAAATATTTTAAAATGTAAACTAAGAACATTATTAATCACAGTTTTGTACTCTTTTGTGCCGCCAACATTACATTAGAAACAAACAAAATATATTGATCATTATTGGCAAGGAACTGTTAAACATTTGTTTGCCATCTATAGATGAAGTTGCAGATTGCAACCATCTCCTTGTTCACCCCTTTGTTTTCCAAAYAGGCCATAAAAATACATGTGGAATACAAAATAGGTTTGTAAAGAATGGCTGTTTTTAATTGGACTTTTTGTCATGTACCTTTTTAATGTTGTTTTTTGTAATTAATCAGTCCTCTTAGTCTGTCAGAAGCTGCATTAAGGCGATGTAATAACCACATTTTCAGCATTTTGAACACCAATTAGTGACCACCCTCGTAATAATGAAGTTTTTTTTTTTCATCAAAACACAATTTGCTGCTTGACTTAAAAGAGCCGAGTTATTGCTGTTGAAATAAAGTCGTTTCAGTGTAAAATAATATTGTGAATGATGCATGTGTTTACCAGGTTCAAAGGAGACGTCAGTTGGTACACAGTCAACCTCGACTTACCTCCCAGCAAGAGATGGACGGCTGTGATCTCAGAGAAAAAGCAAGAGGTAAGTGGACTGCAAAGTTCCTGAAGATAACAGGTTCTAAGCCTGGCGTTAATGTCACTCGCCGTGTCCTTGTTTTCAGCTGGCCACTATGATTCAAGCCATCAAAGACTTGGCAGATGCTTTTGTGCCCAGTGGACGGCTGATAGAGCTGGTTGACCTCACGTTGGTGAGTGTCATTTCCTCCCCCCACCTGTAGGTGCTTTTCTTCTGCTGTGATGAAAGGTTTGATGATTGCGGCATTCATTACGCTTTACAGCCTTTAATGGTCGACACGCTCCCAAATCCGTTCCGTGACGAGATCAAAGGAATTGCTGAAGTTTCAGGAGCTCCTTTAGGTAAAAAATAAAGCACTAATAAATTATTTTCTATTTAAATAAAAAAGCACCCAACTAACCTCCATTTTGTTTTTATTCTAGGTGAAGTAGTCTTATTTAATATCTTCTATGAGGTGTTCACGGTGTGCACATCTGTTGTTGCAGAGGATGAGAAAGGTGGGTCCATGATGCAGATTTGTTAATAACTTACAAAGAAAAAAAACTAAGTAGTAAAATGTTTTGGGGCTGTTAACAGGGAACCTCCTGCATGGAAGGAATTTAGATTTTGGACTATTTTTAGGGTAAGAGCATCAAAGCGTTTATGCTTTACAAGTTTAAGTGGAGTCTTGGCACATATTGGTGTAAGAACTTGTTCCTCTTTGCAGCTGGGATGTGAAAAACAAGTCATGGACCATCAGCGAGAAGCTGAAGCCTCTCGTGGTCAACCTCGACTTCAAAAGAAACAACCAGACGGTTTTTAAATCCACGAACTTTGCTGGCTACGTTGGCATGCTCACCGGCATCAAGCCTGTAAGTGCTTCAAGTGAYGTGAACTCAGGAGTCCTGCAATTTTTGATGTAAAATATAAATCTATATAAAAGCATTTTTTTGCCTCTCTGCCAGTTTATCTTCACCCTGACGATGAACGAGCGCTTCAGCCTCGACGGTGGATACATCGGTGAGTWATCAACAGATTTTCTCAGGCTTCACGCCTTAAACCCAAAAGCATTGCTGGTTTGTTGGGATGTTGACCTGTTTTACATGCAGGAATCATGGAGTGGATCTTGGGAAAAAGAGATGGGATGTGGATGAGCTTTCTCACTCGATCTGTCCTAGAAAACGCAACCAGGTAATATTTTATTGTCATTTGTGACATTTTGAGTCACTTTTTTTCTTCACTTCATATTTTTTACTCTCCTCAGTTAAAAAATAGTGCACTTCATTTTAAAGCATAAAACAATATTAGACGGTGGTAAATTCTTACAGCAATAAAAAGCAATGAGTGTAATTCGTTAATCGTAACAAATTAAAATCAATGATTTGAGTGTAAAGCATGACTTGAAAGTTGAAGCTGAATATGTTTCTGAMACTGAGTTTTATATCTTGTCCCACTAGCTATGAGGAAGCCAAACAGAAGCTGGCYCAGACTAAGATGCTCGCTCCAGCTTACTTCATCCTGGGAGGAAACCAAACAGGGCAGGGCTGCATCATCACCAGGTCCAGACTGCTCAGCATTGATGTCTTGGAGTGAGTACTCATCAGCTTTGACACATAAACTGAACTTAATACAGATTTTATGTTGAAAGAGGTCAGTCACGAGTCTTTATGATGCACTTATCTTGTGAAACTCTTTCCCAAYTGGGAACTGTTGACATCGTTAATTTCAGATCACCGGATTGACATTTCAYAACCATGTTTCTGTAAGGCTGCCGGTCACATTTTGAGGTTTTTGTCTGACTTCCTGTACTCAGGATCGACGTGAGACGGGGCCGCTGGTATGTCCTGGAGACAAACTATGATCACTGGGAAGACCCTTTTTTCCTGGATGATCGGAGGACTCCCGCCATGAAGTGCATGAACCAGACCACCCAGGCAGTGAGTGCTGGCGCTGGTCCTGAAATGGACTCAAATTCTCTCTGAATAAACTCCTTTTAGTTTGAAGTCCAAGTCTGCCTGAAGTTCATGTTTTAATAAAAGGTTATAACGCTGTTTGATCCGTCACTTTTCCCCCCTCAGAACATCTCTGTGAAAACACTGTATGATGTGCTGTCAACCAAACCAGTGTTAAACAAGGTGAGACTTTTCAGGACCGTTTGTATTTAATGTAACAAGAACCTGATTTGACTTATATTCAAAGATCCTTGTTTTACTGTCCTTTCAGCTGACCACATACACGACTGTMATGAAAGTGTCGGAGGGCAAACTGGAGTCGTATATCCGGGACTGTCCAAACCCGTGCATGCCTTGGTGATCCTCCCAACACCAGCTCCTRATCTGTCTGAAAAATGCTTAAAGGTTGACTCATCTTGGTGCAAAATGTCAAGCTTTTAAGTGCTTCCCCATCCACTACTGACCTGAACCGTTGTTTGTAACACTGGTGTCGTTTTCACATTTAAAGATACAGTTCAAATCTTTAGAAGTGGGGTTCTGTGCAAAAAGGTATAAACAATATGTTACCTGTTGTACATAGCTCTTTGAGTGACCTCAGCTTGAAGAAAGTTTAATTCTGACCTGATTTATGCACTAATGGCTAGTCCAAGTAGGGCCGAGAAACAAAACGAGTTTCTGCTTTGAAATAACTTCAGTTTATGCAAATAGTTTATTACCCTTTGCATTGTGATTTCATGCAACATACTTATGTTGAATTCATTAGTAACCTGCTAGCTCTAACACTTTCAATGCAACCTGAGTCACTTCTAGCAGAAATAACATTTCTGCTAAAATACCATTAAAATGAGACATTGATGGAAAAGTAAAAGTGTATAAAATGACATTTACATGGTGTACATATAATTCCCAAAACTGACTGTTTTACGATGGTAGCAACTGACCACAGTCTGGCTCTGCTCAGACTAGCCATTAGCTCAACAGAAGTAAGTCTTCATAAAGCTATCTAGTTAAGATTATTACTTTACATTTACACAGAACACTTCAGATTTAAGGAGATTTAAGGGAAATTGGAACCAAAACCTGTAAATATTTTCCTGTTCTTTAACTGTAACTTTATTTGTATAATGTGAACAGTTTAGTAATTATCCTTGGAGATTTCAGTAAGTGCAAAACATTGCTTTGTTATCAGCTTCCTGCAAATCTAGCACTTTAAGTGCAAAGTTTAAATAATTCCTGATAATGACAAATATACCTCAATGCTGACCACTTTTTAAATCGTTAATAAAATAAGCCAAAGCATTTTTGTTTCTCAGTTTTTTTAATCACAAGTTTTACATGTTGAGCTACCTGTGTTTAATTCAGATGTGATTTTCATAAAGCTGGGATTGAGTTTGTCTCAAATCATTTGGTTTTATTATAATAAGACAAAAGCAGAAAAGAATACAATTCAAAACTGAGAATAAGGATTTTTTTTTTTGTTTTAAAGAAAAACTACCCGMTTTCAGAAGCAGCTAAGAACAGTCCTATTAGACCTTTTCTCTACATATTTACAGGAACCGTAGCTCTTCTGTCCTCTTGGCTGAACATTCATCTTTCTSTAAGCTCTTTATAATTATAAATCCAAATGGAGAAAGATGAACAACAATGGAGGCCAGGCAAAGACAAAATATTTAAAGAAAAAAAATGATTACGTTGAACTAATCCTACAACTAAGAACTAACAAAGGCAGATTAAATGGAGGGATTTAGTTCTCCACATATTTCAAACAAAGACTTATCTGTTGATCAGCAGCAGGAGATGACATCAGGAAATCACATTAAACATTAATGAATAAAAATGAACTTTAAATGTTGACATCCATGTGACCATTGTGTAACTTTGCTCCTATGAGTCAACAGAACAGGAATAAACTATTTTAAAACTAAAACAAACAAAGCGAGTAAATCTTACTAAAACAGTAGTTTGAAACATCTCTGCATCATTCTTTAAATGTTCTCAGAGCTGTTGGTTTCTGGAAAAAAGAAAAGAACAAACCCATTAACTGTTGGAAGGTGTTCCGACAGCTGGAAACTGTAATCTTCAAAAGGGGGGAGGAAACAAAAATGTAATTGGTACCTGGTTCCTTCAGTGCCTGAGCACTTCCCACCAGCCCAGTCACCAGTTCAGTGTTCCCATTAAGGATCTCCACAGAGAGGTTATTATTCTGCTGCTCCTCCACTATTCTCTTCTGGAGCTCCTCCTAATGTTAAAGACATCACACTTCACTGTAACATACAGATTATTTTTTCTTCCTTTTAACTCATCTTTAAAAGTWAGATAAACAGATTTTTTCCCATTTTTTTTTCTTTTTAAAAACACACCTCGCACATGACTGTAAGCTGCAGCGGCAAGTCATCCACCTTGACAAAGTCGTCCTCGTCCGACTTTTGGCTCGTGTTACCTGACCCCATCTCCTTAATAAACATAATTATAACTGCGATATTAAGATTTGATAATYACACATCAAAGGAAGGGTAAGCACAAAAAATACTATCTGCACTTACATCCACATTGACAAGGACAGGTGAGTCTGTGTTGGGACTACCAGTGTCTGTTGAGTCCTTGGGGACATCCTGACCTGGATAAAYGACAGATTCTCCCTCTGAGGGAGCAGCAGCCCCAACTTTACTCTCCTCCTCAGGAATCTGGTTCTCCACATCTGTGTGTTCCTCCACTGTGGAATCCAGATTCTGAGCTGATGTGTTGACTTCTGCAAGACAATTAAAAACAAATTCTAAAAAGTAATAATTAGTCCAAAAAGGATTCTTAGAAAACAAAATTTAACATGCTGGCTGAGCTACATGAACTTAGCAGGACTCACCATTGTTGTTCTCAGAGGAGTTCTGTTCAGGTTTTACCTCCTGAGTTTCACAGCTGGTTGTGCCCTGGAACAGTTGGGTCAAACAAGAAAAAAAGGTGCTGAGTAAGACCAGACAGGACAGTGRCATGGAAATAAACAGAACCGTCTCATTTTGGCTGACCGTGGTGCTGAGCTCCTGCTCTACTTGTCCATCAGCAGACACCTGCAAGGATGTTTGGACGTCTACAGGTCCGGCTTCAAACTCTTCGATTTCCTCCTCCTCGTTCTCATCCTCACCGCTGCCGTAGTTCGTCAGAGCCTGAGTCTCTGCTTTGGACAGATCTGCGAGCAACAAAAAACTATTTATGGAGGGGTCAGAGTTTGTTGTGATTTAATGTAAATAATCAAATACTTGACACATTCAGATTATCAAGTTATGATATATAATCTGCTGTATTTCCAAGTGGCCAGTCAAAAGGAAGCAAGTTTGTAGTTTTAACCAAATAAATCCTTTGAACTAAAAAGTTGCACTTTTTCCCTCTAAAGCACATTCCAATTGATTTATCTTATTTTAAATTTGGCTTAAAGAAAACCATGTCATGATGTTGTGTACCCCTGACAACTACGGCTGTGCCTCAAGTTTACAGCAGATTATTTTAGATTATTTCAAGTAGCGATGTGAAAAGKGTCTTCAGATCTAATTGAAAGCCTGAGTCAGATTAGAGCTTTTTATAAGCAACATTTGCAGTCAGCTCCTTTATTTTGTTTTCCTTAAAATAAATAAGATTCACTTACTGATAGACAAATGCACTCCCTGTCTGTGCCCTTCGTCTTCCTCCTCCTCCTCCTCAGCTTCACTGCTCTTGTTGCTCTTCAGACCTGCCTGCAGGTAGTGCTGCTGGAGGGAAGAGTCTCCTTCCTTCTCCGCCTCATCTTGGTCCTAGAGGAAGTGATAAAAGATGATGAGAAACATTAATAAAGAACATGTGAACTTTGTTTTAAGAGCCATAAATTATTTCTTTATCAGGATTAAAAATACTCGCCTTATCTTCATCAGCGTACGCTGAAGAAACGGGCTTATCAGCACCTACATCTGCAGTCTCCTAAATGAAGAAATCAGCTCATATTTAGACAAATTCACATCTCACTGTGACAAAATTTATTAAAGGGAATTTACAAAAAATGACTCACATCAAGAAAATTTTTTGTTTTATTGGATTTTTCATCCATTTTCTTATTTTTGTGTTTTGCAGTCAGAGCGGTGCTGCTGCTGTCCAAATCCTGCATGAGCTTAAAGAAGGCCAGTTCGTTGAAAAGGATCTCTGAAATCTCTACCAGCAGGTCCTCCCCGCAGTCCTTCAACGTGCGGCCTGCAAATTTACTGAGAGATTCCTGGAAGAAGAGGAAAAGTAACATTGTAGAAAGACCGGTTTTTAAAATCACCTGCTTCCAACTTGTACTGCTGCTCCTACCTGCAGAATACCTCCCAGCTGYTTGTGGAAAAAGCGGACAAACTCTTTGCCCTCATCATTTCGYTGGGTCAGAGTAAGCACCATGTGCCGCACAGATGTCAGCAGCTGATGTGAACACACCTCATTCATGTTCTCCTGATCACATCAAAAAGATAAATAAAAAACTGTCTGAGTCAACTTTCTTTTACATGTTTACAAAATATATCTTTACTACAGACTGACTACTAAAGAAGACGATTCATTTTTGAACATGGTGGACTAAACTGAGCTCCTGAGTTTAAAAAGTTCAGTTCTCTCTGTTAGTTTTCCTACCTTCAGAAAGGGAATGACTTCTGTCATGATGGCTTTGATCTGACGATCTAACTGTTGGGTGTCAATCTGAGGGCAGTGCACATCTSCAGCTGTGGCTCCTTCCAACACAAATAATGTCATTTTGCACAAAAAATAATAAATGCAATATACTTAGCAGACATAAAAAGGGTAAAAAGAGGCTGCCAAAGGTCTGCACATGTACACAAACAGCATCATGTGATCGTGTACCTTCCTCTGGTTCAGCGGGGTTAGCAGAAGCACGCTCAGCGTTTGAAACGTCAGAACTGTTCACACCTGCAGCGCTGCTGTTGCAGAGGTTAAACTCAGCTTTAAGCTTCATGCGCTCATACTCCCTAATCCTCGCCAGAGCTTTGTCTAAATGAATCACCGTGTTGCCTGTCAGATCACCACAGAAAGAAGAGCAAGGACAGGATATGAAGAGTTCAATCAATGAGACAAGACAGCAGTATAATGGATATTAACACACCCAGGTTTACATTACAGGATCTAATACACCAGGTCTCACTCTTCCCAAAAAGGATGGTGACAGTATTTTGCAGCATTAAACTAAAAGCTGGTTGATTTATCAGAATAAGCCTTGAAAAGCCCCATTGAAGGAAGTAAGACGTATCAATGCAGTAAGCCAAGCCCTTTAGTTGGACACAGAAGGTATGAAAAAACAAAGAACACCATAAACTGGTTTCAATGATCAGTAAAACATGCTTTAACTCTACCCAGATCATCATTGGCAAAAGGTTCCAGGTTGGAGRAAGTTGACATGTTACTGTCATTATCCACCGAATCGGCATCATCCTTCCTCTTTAAGCCCTGCGCGTGCCTCAAGTTCTTCTCCACCACCTCCTGAAAGAGAAGAATGCTAGCTTTGAGTTTCACACGCAGAGACTAGGTTTGAAGTTTGCCCCTGATTGACCTGAGAAGATTATAGATGGTTTAACCCACAGTTTTGGTGGATTTCAAATGTTCAACATGAAAAATGAGACATCTTAGCCTTCGTTCTTGAACAAAGACAAATTTTCACAGACAAAAAGACCTGGCTCCCAATTAGTCCAACTCTAGGGACCTTAGAGCTGAACAAAGAACACATGTCTAATCTAGCAACAGAGACATGAAGGGATGAGGGTCATTTGTTTTTAGACAGGCTTCTGAGGTTTTGCTGGCAAGTTAAATTCAAAGACAAGGAGGAGGGAAAATTAAAAATGAGAAAAGAAAGAGACATGGGAGGATGGCAAGAGACAAGGAAAGAGAGAGAGGTGAAAGAAGGCAAGGCTTAGCAAAAAGCTAATGAAAAATGTATTTAGATGTGGAAAAGAAAAGACATAAAAACAAGGGCGAGGATGACTGAGGGGACTGAAAGAGACCTCAGAACAGACTTTGTTATGAAGATGAAGGGGATGCACAAAACAAGACAAAGGGTTGGGGGGGGTATCAAAATGCTAGACTGGAAGGAAGACTTACTTCATCGCTGGTGATCAGACTCTGGCTGGGTGTCAGCTCAGACTGAGAGCCTGCTGTCCACACAGCAGGGCCAAGAKGGGGCAACTGGTCCTCTGCTGCACTCTTCACTGCCAGGTGCTTAGTCACCAAGTCCTGACAGGAACACATTCGAGAATCAACAAATTTAGGAAGCTCTTGAAATAAAGTTGTAACTTTTAGATGAAGGTGAAAAATAAAATAGAAAAACAAAAAATATATATATCGTACACGTGACAGGAAATTTAGCAGCCTTATTGCATGTGGAAAGAAGCTGTTTGACATTCTGGTCATGCCTGTTTCAGTGGAGCAGTATCTGCTTCCAGATGGCAGGAGATTAACCAGCAGTGTGAGACAGATCTCTCACAATACACAAGTAACGCACCATAACTATCAGCTGATCTTTTCTATTGAGTACTCTATCTTCATCTCAGCTCATTATAAGATTATTCTAGTTTGGACTCAAGCATTAGATTATATCACACTCAGTTACTCCAGAAATGCACATGTATTACAGCTATCTGCTCAAAAATCAAATAATTTTTCTAAATATAAAAAAAATCACATAATCGCAATCAACTGATTATTTTAAGATTTAATCAATTTAATAGGACTTTTGAAACTTAAAGATATGAAATAATTAAAACATTCAAAAGAATCAGTCTTTAAACTGGCCCTGAGATGGGCCTATGTCCTGTCCAGGGTGTCCCCCACCCCTCGCAAAGTGACTGCTGGACATGGGCACCAGTGACCTTTATGACCCTGAAAAGAATGAGTACGTTAAGATTATGGATGGATGGGCAGTCTTTAAACTCACCTGCAGGCAAAACAAAGCTCGCTGACGTAAATAGTCCGTRTTGAGGAGCTGCAGCTCGTGGAAGAGCTCGATGAGGAAGTGGGGCCTCGACTCATTCTGGGAAATCAAAGTCGCCACCTCAGAGTAAATGGTCTCCCTCAGAGCTTCGAAGAGTGAGAAGTCACTGCTTGCATCTACAGGGTCAGGATTTCACATGAGATTTATCAGTGAAAAAACAACAACACATAAGATGGTAAGTAAAATACGCTTGTTCCAGAGGGAAAGACTTGGTTAGGGTTTAGATGAGTTTGATGAAATGGTTAAAAAAATGAAATAATAAAAGATCTGCATGGTGACTTTACCTGGTGCTTCTGTGCATGCAATTCTGTTAGAGAGGAAGGGTGTTCTCCAAGCATAAGCTGTGAGTAAAATAAATTAAAAGTAACAAATTACCCTAAAATTAAAAAAGAAAATTAAACCTGTAATAATGACAGATGTGTAAAAAAGTATTAAATGAACAAAATAACAGGATGTTGCAAGTTCAGGGGGAAAATGTGTAAAATTATGATAATTAATAAAATTAAAGTATGAATAATTAATGTTTTCACAGAAAAAAAAGATAGAGACTAAAGAAGAMGCTAGATAATGAGCACAATGAATCATACCAGAGGAGAGGTCATTTCTTTTGTTCCCGAGCTTGGCCTTGCTGTCCAGTTTTTCTTGAGTCAGTTTGTCCAGCAGTCTCTGATTCTGATCTCTGTGATGAGACGATGCCGCCCTCTGCTGGATAAAGTCTGCAGTGCTGCTGACACTGTCACTCTCATGACCTTAAAAGAAGAATAAAATAAACTAGAAAAAGGTTTTCCTATGAAGAAACAAATGAAATGTTGTCTTTGCTGGAAGTTGCTCATGAATATGCTTCATTAGAAAGCTCTGAAATGCTGAAATTTAGACGTATTGTTGTGAAATGCTSTCAGAAGTCATTATTGGACAAGTTTAAAGCGTCCCATAAAATTTGTTGCAGACAGAGTTGAAGAACATATTCTTAAATAAACTTTTAATGTTTAATAATTTATGAAACTAATGTTCCTGGATTCACCATYTTGAGATCATTTGATTATCCCTCTTCCTATCTGGCAACAGGATTCATGTAAATGTGTTTTAATTATGTTGATTCACCACAATTTAATAAAAACTGAAAAAGCAGACCATTCTCATGTAAAAAGGGCTAAAGTGAGTCTGTTAATTCCAGTCTCATACCTTCACTGTTCTTGCTGTGCCCTTTGTTCCTCCTGCGTCTGTTCTTGGGCGTTTTGCTCCGTGAGGCCAGGTTGGCTTGTGCAGAGGCCTTCCTTCCCATCTTAAAAGCCTTCGTGATCGTAGTTGGATCCACAGGGTCAGGGATGCTGCTGAAGCTTTCCTGTGACTCCTTGTCGAACTCTCGCAGTCTTGAGTGAAGTTTGGCAAAAGTGGGGGAGGAAGAGGGAGACTCTTGAAGTTCAGTTTTAGATGTGTGATGCCGTGTTATATTCTTCATGTAGGATGTGTTAAGTTGGGCAGCCGGTCTATTGTAGTAAAAGGAGAAAATAGACATTAACAACCATGTTTAAATTAGAAATCAAATGTATTCCAAGAAAAACACAACCCACCCCCTTTCTTTTCCATACCGTCTTTCAGCTGAAGTGTTAAGAGGAGAGCGCTGCAGTGGTGGAGGGAAAATCATGTAGTCTGATTTAACTGAGGCGGTGGGATCCAGCTGAAGCTTCTGATGCTCAGGAGTAGCTGGGCCGACTGCACCTTGAGGAAATTCACTCATGCCAGCAGGAAATGATGGATACAAGTTAAAGCCTTTAAAATGAAAGAGGAAAAAACGATTCATTAACTTAACTTATGTTGTTAATGCTCCATAAAAACTTAGAAAATCATGATAGAATGTCAGACAGTTCGTTAGAACTGTCATTTTAAGAAGTAAGCATTTTAAAACCATAAAGATCACTGCAAAATACTACATTAAAATAATAAATCATTTAAAATATTTAATTTTTTATTAATTCTAAACATATTTTTATACCTTGAAACGATGGATTTATTCATTGCTTTTAGAAGGATAAATCAAAGACCTAATCAATATGCGTATCATACCAGGAGGGAATGGAGGTGATGAAGTATTTGTTGTGTTTATAGCTGAATGATGCAAAGTAGAGGAGAAGGGGTGAAAGAGTCCAGGGGAAGCTGAGGGGCCGGGGCTGGAGTCCTGTCCTGAGCCCTGCTTCTGTGTCTGCCAACCGACTGCTGACGACTGTTGCTGCTGGCTAACGAGGTCGTTCAGGACCTGCTTTAGTCTGAAAGAAATGTTACAGACAGTGGTGGGCTGTAACTAAGTACAAGTACTACTCCACTAAATTTTACATTAAGTATCTGTACTTTCTACTCCACTACATTTCTGTAATGCGTTGAATTACAAATTACATTCATGTCACATCGCATTGCGTTTTTTTTAAGTTATCAGTGGCAAGTGGGAGAATTGCTGTAATTGGTCCATTGAACCACTGCAAAGCAGGAAAGTACCATTAGACCCTCCTTCAAAAAAAGCGGAGCAATTCTGCATCACCTGCTGGAGCAGCAGCACGCCCACAGTGGATTCCACAGCAGAGAAAATGCGCCACTCATGGCCTTATTTATTCAAGTTAACTGGTTCAAAAAAATGACTTGTTAAGATTTATTAAAGGATGCTGGTTGTGAATTTACAGCTTCTGTAGCTGTTGTCACAATCTGTGACGATGCACAGWATCACAGGTCAGAGTGTGAACRGTGTCACAGAGGGGAAACACAAAAACATGCATTACCTGCAGCATTGTTCACTAAAACCATTGATGTATTAAAAATATACATACACATACAGTAGACACACTTCATGATATTGTAGACCATTATGGAATACATTAACAAAGTCCTTTTACTTTTAATACTTCAAGTATTTTTAAAAGCAAGTACTTACTTACTTTTACTCAAGTAAAAATGTTAATGTGGTAATTTTACTTTTACTAGAGTACATTTCTGTCTGTTTATTTGTACTTTTACTTAAGTACAGTGTTTGAGTACTTTCTCCCCCACTGGTTACAGACTGAAGAAATATTTTAAACAAGCTTTTTACCTTTGCACATTGTTCTGCTGCCAAGTCAGCTGAGTATAGCACTGGTTGAGCTGGTGCATGACCAGCTGGACTTGTGGTGACGACAGGTTGTTGGGTAAAACGCTGTACTGGCCAGTCAGCAGAGTCTGCAACATGTATGATAGAGTCTGTGGAAGAACAAAAAATTAATTTATGAAAGAGCAGAACTCTAAGTCAACGTGATTCTTATGAGTACAAGTGGAGTTTTTTTTGTTATTATTTCTYTGTTTAGTGCACAAACCTGCTGATCCTGCAGGAGTGTCTGACACATGCTGGTACTGAAGTCCAGCTGTCTCTGTAGCTGGTTGATCTGCTCCTGCCAGTGATGTGTGCCGTCAACAGAAGAGAACTCAAAGGGCCAGCACAGGTTCTCTTGTCGACGTATACCTCCGGTCTGGCTGGCAGACTGATTCAAACTTCTGGACTGCTGCTTCATCTTGGTCTTGTTATGAAGATGCCCATCATCCTCACCTGAGAAGGCTGCTGGAGGCTTCAGATTGCTGAAGGCACACACACACAAACACACAAATTAATTTGGAAAACTGTGTCAGATATATGTCAGAAATATGAGGTTCCATCCGTTCATATTCTAGTCGGACCTTCCTTGATTCTTCCTGTCGCTGTAGGAGCACTGGTTCATGCTCGGTGAGAAGACATGAATGTCATCATCAGAGCTGCTTTCTGTACACTCTTCCTGATCCTCATCCTCCTCTGCACATATTTCTGAGCGATACTCATCCTCTTCCTCATTTTCATCGTCATCATCAAGATGGCCTGAACTGGAACCCCAGGTGGCCATTGTTCTAAAAAAAGAATGAAAGAAAGCAGAAATATTGTTACTGTAAGTAGGTAGAACATGATAAACGTTACATGATAAATGAACTGAGAAATGATGAGTCCTCCCACACATTAAGAACCAACAATATTGTCATTGTTCATCCTTAAAGTATCTTAAAATAAACTGGAATCCAAAAACAGCTGAGACAGGCTTGTTGAGCAACATGCCCTTTACCTCTCATCTCTGTTGACAGGCTGGGAGTTTGCAGCAGTCTCGTCTTGGTCTTCAACCTGACAGGGCGAGTCGAAGAGACCGCTCTGTCTCTGGTGCTCAGCCATCAATAACTCCAGGTGCTTTCTGCGCTGTCTCAGATCCTCTCGCAAAATCTGTCGCCGACGCATCTCTGACCAAAGCTGCTGGCGAGTAAAAACAAAGAGAGGATTGGTTGAATGCTGCAGTTTCAAAAAGGGTTCAGCTTGGTTGGATAAAAGTGAGAAAAATGTGGAAGAGGAGGACGTGCTGGGTGGAAGTTGGGATGYTTCACCTCATTATCAGGGACAGAAGAAGAGGCCGCCTCTGGGGCAGTTGGTTTTAGGACRGCTAAGTTGGTTTTGGGTCCAGAGGATGAAGAAGGCTGGACAGTAGCTGGACTGGAAACTGCAACTGAAACCTTTCTCAGCAAACCCTTCTGACTAACTGTGCTGGGCACAGATGACTGCAAAAGACACCAAATAACAGTGTGTTTGAACAGAAATCAAAGTCTGAAATAAAAGCCTTTTTCTAAACTGTTTATTATTAGGGTCATTGTTTAACTGTAGAAAACATACCAGTTGTGTTGGTCACTCAAGTGTTTACAGATGTTAACTGTGTGTAAACAAAGTGGTCAAGTACCTGAAGATCAGGACAAGCCCACTGCAAGTCCTGGATCTTGCCTTGGATGTCCATGAGTCTCTGACGTTCTTGGTGGAGCTGCTTGAGCTCCTGCTTCTGCTGATGCAGTTTTTCCTCGTACAGCTTCTCCCTGTCAGAAAAACAGAACAGCTCTGATGCAATAAAAATAACCAAATAAAACAGCAACAACAACAAAATACAAAATAAACAAAAAAGATATAATTTTATCCTATTGGCTTGTCTTTTCTATTTTAAACCCACCTGGCCTTGCTGGAGAGGGCGAGATCTCTGGGACTCTGTTTAGACCCAGTTCCCAACGCACCAGATGTAGGAGCTCTGGTGTTGTTTGGCTGCTGGTGTAAAACTTCATCCTCGTTTGCTGTTGTTCCATCTGTGTCGTCACTCTGTTAACAGACAGACTGATTCAGATTTTTTTTACGAAGTTCATAGATATATACAGTATATTTAATGCAGGAACAAAAATATTTAAAATGAACTATAGATTTCTGCTTTTGCAGATTCACTTTGGTTGTTAGTTTCTGTCAATGATTTCTGAGGCCTGGGTCCAACATGCTGGTAAGTTTGGCTTTTATAGATCACAGATTAAGTACGTGTGAATTCTCTGCTCACACTAAAAWATTAACTGGCGCTCATCCTAAATGCAAGTTCTTTGTTCTGTCCAGTAAAACTTCAAAATAAAGTTTGTGAAGACACTTTGTTGTCCTGTTAGTTATGTCCTTGGTTTTAACATAAAAAGAAAACCGGTCACTTTAAACATTTGTGCATTTGAAAACTCACTGCTTCCTTTAATGAGCAGTTTAAAGGCCCCCACATACTCGGGCGTATTTTGCTCTGCGCAGGTCTGTGTGGACTCGAAGCGGCCGTCCGCCGGACTGGTCCACACAGAGATCAATTTTTTACGTCCACGTCTGCAGTGTCGCACAATAAACTGCCCGGCGAGTTCACGTCAAACTGTTTTGGATGCGACACCAAGTAGATAAAGTTGAGAATTGGTGTCATTTGTGGACAAAATGGAGTCAAAATTTGAAGAGCGCCTCATGGAGGAGATTAGAAAATATGATGCATCAATGAAGGAAACTAAAGACTTTCAGCGAGCAACAAATTTGGAGGAGGAAATAGATCAGATCCTGGGTAAGTAGTTTTTCTTATGTTGGTTTAAACCTAAAATGCAAACTATTTTATTATTATTATTAAGTTTATTTGATAGGGACAGACACACAACAACATAGACAGACTGAAAAAAAACCAGCAGTCCCATGCCTGTATCACGGTGCTTATAGCGTGAGCTAATTTGCAGCACTTGTCCCTTGATGGACTCTTAAACAGTCTATCTAAAATGTGCCTAAAATGTATTAAAAAWTTTTTTTGAGTAATTTCTTCCTCCTCGTCCTTGACACCATGACTGAAATATGAAAAATTAAAGAATTTGTTAAGCAGTCAGTACGCTCGAGTATGACGTCTCAAACGTCTGCGGACAATATGCGTGGAGACCGCGCGGCTCACAGACCRCWCACAGTACGCCCGAGTATGTGGGAGCCTTTAGTCTCATGAATTGGCTGAAAATCTTTTATACGTGAATGAATTCAGTACAAATGTTGTCTTCACTGACAACAAACAAACATGGTTCCCAACCCTGGTCCTCAAATACCCCTATCCAGCATGTTTTACTTGTTTCCCTGCTATTCAGCAGGTCTTCAGAAGATTGTTAATCACTCATTCATTCAAACCAGGTGTGTCAAATCAGGGAAACATCTAAAAATCACTGCTTTAAATGTTGACCAACACCTCAAGAGCTTCTCTGAGCTTGAGACATTTTCAAAATATAATATTGACTCAGTTTTATGTTTTTAGTGCCTCTGGAAGCAATTGTTTCTTTGCCATTTATTTGTAAATAATAAATCAGATAACATGTATTAAAGCAGTGATTCTCAACCCTGGTCCTCAAGGACTCCTTTCCTGGATGTTTAGATGTTTCCCTGATCTGACACACCTGGTTTGAATGAATGAGTGATTAACAATCTTCTGAAGACCTGCTGAATAGCAGGAAAACAAGTAAAACATGTTGGACAGGAGTACTTGAGGACAGGGTTGGGAACCACAGCATGATGAGACCATAACCATGCATTTTCTTTGCTGTACTGAAATGAAAACATTAAATGACCCTAAAACAGGGAAACACTCCAACAGAAGTACTGTAGTCCACTTCACCTGAACCATGGCCACCAGCTCCTGTAGCTGCCAGAGTTTCTGCTTCGCTGTCTGCCGACGACTCTTTGGAGCAAAATCGGCATCATTACCAAAACTGCTCCGCTGACTGGACTCCGATGCACTGTCCGGAACCACAGCCCGTGCTCCTTCGTTGTTACCAATACAATCTTCATCCTCATCTTCATCCTTTACCTGATCATAAGGGATGTCTCTGTTGTACTGACAATCTAGATGAGATGAGAGGAAATCTCAAATATCACATGCTGCATTTGAAAATGTGCCTAMGTTTTACACGACTCTGTGCTCCTAAAAAATGTTCCTGCATTTATTCAATCTGAATAAATTGATCTGTCTCCATGTGGTGCATGAGCGAACCTATCGGCGTGGTGATGTTGAGGCTGCGGAGGTTGGCTGCTGTCCGGTTGTTGATCTCACACTCTGTGTTGAGTCTGCCGTCACGGTTGTTAGTTCTGCTACTCCTGACAACAAGCCCATTGGTCAGGCTGTTCAGGTCTGCCCAGTTCCTGCTGCGTGGTGGGTTTCTGAGGACATATGGTGCAGTTTGTTACTGGTAGGTTCAACCAACAGAAATACACAACGAAATCGAGAAGTAAAACTAAAACACTGAACGCTACATTGGAGTAATTTATTGTTATCTGATTAATCCCTTTGTGAAATTTTATTCAATTAACAAATGAATCAGTAAAAAGTTTCTACATTTAACTAATCTTTTCTTTATTTACACACCCACCTGATGTTGGTTATAGGTTGACGACTCTCCTGCTCAGWGTCAAACATGGTTTCAAACATAGATCCATCCTCCGTTTGGTCTTCCTCATCATCGTCAACCTCCTCTTTCACATTCTCATTGACTGCATCCACCATCATGTCAGACGTCTGCTCATAGTACTGAACCAGTTCTCTCAGCTCATTCAGACGCTTATGCACCTCTTTTAGCTTCCTGTGGGAATAAGGTGAAAAAAATGTGAATGTACACTGGCAACACTATACCATCCTCACTCTATTCAATACGTTGACAGTGATATCTGACCTGCCTATGCTATTGTTCTGAACTGTCTGTATGAACGTACCTAAGCTTGTCAGAGGATCTGGGGTCCTCCTCCTGCTGTTGTTGAGTGAGTAAAGGTTGGAAAGATGTGGAAGCCAATGCCCCGTTAGAGCAGAGAGCAGATGGACAATCTGAGGATCCTTCTATACTTGAACTGCACTGTACTGACAAGCTGCGACCTGAAAATACACAAACAATTCATCAACACTTTTGTAGGGAAAGAAGTCATCTTATTGTTGCAAAGAAAGGTGAGCTTTAAAAYGCTCATACATGAACTATTATTCAGTGTCTGGTCTCTGAGTGAATGCAGCTCTTGTAGAATTTTGTCCATCGTTTGCTTTTTGTCTTGGAGTTCTTGCAGCTTGGTGAGTTTGGCACTGGCAGTAGATGCACCAGGGTCCAAGTCAGTGTGCGGGCCAGAAGCAGAGTGAAGGACCGGCCGGTGTTGAGGTGGACCAACAGCCTGGGGAGTCCTAGACCAGCCCACTTCTCTGGAGAGGGAAAGACTCTGTGCCTGGCGACGATTATCTGGCACAGCTTTAGTCTGCAGGAGACATGGCTTGTCAAAAGGTTGTTCAAGATGTTTAGATTTATCAGATTTCTCTGCATAAATATTATGGCATACTGGTGTGAACTTTACTGTATGATACCCTTATTACTTATTAAAAAGTGCAGCACATACATCAATGCACAGTTTAGGTTATAATTTCCTACATGACATAATGGATACTGTGGCAACATGGTTGTATTTTTTTGTTTGATTGTTTGTTTGTTTGTTTGTTTTACTGTACCTGAGAATCATGTAGCTGGTTGTGAAAACGTTGGATTAAATCATTTAACTCATCATTCAGCTCTGATGTGATGCTTAGGCCTGAAACACTGCCAGTGGTTTCTGTGACAACTAGAATACAAAACAAAGTTTAAAAATYAAATGGGAAGTCATTGTTGTGTAATGTATTATGATGGGAAATATAAACAAATATCTGAAAACTGTTGGCTCTGCCCTTTAGATGTTTACTAAATAAATTCCAAATTCGTCAAAGAATGCATACTCTTTTTTCCTCCACTTTACAGATGAATAGACGAGATACCTTAACTCTACACAGAACTAATCTGCACTCAATGTGAAAGTGTACATCAGTACATGTGTCTCACCGGTGTCTTCAATCACAGCGAGTGCCTGTTCTGCACTGCGCTGCATAGCCATGAGGGCTTCTTGTTGGCCCTGCAGGGCCCTGAGCTGTTCTTGCTGTTCCAGCATCTTCTTCAACAGCTCGTGCTGCTTACGCAGATTCTCCAATTCTTCTCTCTGGTCAGCACGCACAGCTTCTGGCCTGTCAGCCTACAAACGCATACCCACATATCAGTACAAACACAGAGACAACGAAAATCTGCATCAGCAGTAAACTCTTCTTCTCAGCAAGAATACCATGCCATGAATAAGTAAGACTAATATGAATAATACAGGGTGTATTATGTCTACACAAAGGGAAGAAAGCAACTAAATGTATTGAAGCATACAGAAAAAAAAAAAGTTTATGCAAAATGTCCTCACTGTTGTGTTTGAAGTGTCTAAAGGTCGAACCTCTACATTAAGAGAAGCGCTCTCTGCCAGTGAACTCAAGCCAATAGCAGAGTCCAGTCCAACATCGCCATCATTCTCCTGAGCCTATAAAAACAGTCACACAAAAAATAAGAAAAACACTGGTGCGTACTCCTAAAGGTGCTGAACTAGACATTGCCTATATGCGTCAAGGCAGAAAAATAATAGGAATCTAAAAAAAATGTTCAGATATAAAAAGTCAGTCAAAATTAGTAGACAACAAACAGAAACCAGCAGATAAAGGAGGCATGTCCCAGTTTAAACACGAACATGATCCAGCTGCTGACGTGCTTCAGGCCACAGAAAAAAACAACAATTAAAAATGTATGTATGGCAGGATGCCACTCTTTAACACGGGTTCTGTTTCATCAATAAATTAACCAAGAGGAATCCTTTACATGCGGTACATTCATTGAAATCATTTGTTTAACATCTGAAAAGCAGAAAAAAGTTCAACAAAAGCAAAATCTTAATGATAAAACTAAAAAAAGAACAAACAAACTTACAAGCATTTTCTGCAAGAAATGTAAATAGGACTTCTCCTGCTCTTTGAGGTGCTCGATGAGAAGAGAAAGGCGCTCCACGTTGGCTGGCACGTCATTCTTTTCCACCAGATCATCCCTCATGGACCTGGCCTTACTGATGTAGTCCCGAATCTGTAACAGCTTGCTCACCACCTGAGGCCGCACAGACAGAGAGAAGGGTCGGTGGTGTAGGGGTGTGTTAAGAGAAATAGAGGAGACAAGAAAACACAAGACAGAAAGGTAAGTGAGCATCTGTAGTGATGGTTCAGACTAGGCTACACAAGGGCAGAAAGAGGGTTGGACACAAAACTCACTGGGCACCATGGTGGCGTATTTATAAACTGGCCTACATAGAGCCTGGTTTCAGCTGCACCAGCTCTCCCTCACTTTCATCCTAGTTTTTTTAAGCAATTTGGAAATTTTCCTTTTGCCACTATTACATACATTATAGAAAATGAACTTGTAGAAATTAAATGCAATACATGATAAGTATCTCTTAAAACATTAAGATGCATAAAATAGACATTTTACATCCGCACCATTTTGAGCAAATCAGCACTTGTGCATTGGYGAATTTATTAATCAAAAGAACAGGATATAGAGCGGTAAAAACAGGAGCTGGCTTTGACATTGGTAACCTCATGTTACCTGGCTGCTGTCTAATCTCGGCTCTCGTCTCCCCTGCTCTCTCTGCAATAAGGGACCTCTCTCTGCAGCACCTCGGCCGAGTCTGGGAGACTCCTTAGCAGGAACCACGGGGGTCAGTGAAACCCTGAGTCCTGGGCTCTGCTTCTTGATTTCCTTGGTGGTAGCTGGGGTGGTTGGGGCAGAGGCTGAGGGATGGAGCAGCTCTTTGCTTTTGTTAGTGTTTACATGTAGAGGCAGGTAGTTGTGGGGCTTCTTGTTCACTCCAGCTAACTGCCGCTGGTTGTTGGCGGCTGTGACGCGGCCCTGGGAGTCGCTGCCGATGCTCCTCTGRATGTAACAAAMAAAGAGATACAAGTAGGAAAAAATTTTAAYTAAATTTCAGAAGTCTGTAAACCAGTTTTTGGTCATTCTCTTTTACAAACTGTAAAGGAGCGTGGATGTCCTGGTTCATGTTTCAGGTGCCCTATTTTTTTCAGTTTAATGGATTAAATAWACAAATTCATGTATTAGGAACACATTTTTAATGCTCGAACATCAAAACCTAATAAAAACAGACAAATACATGCATAGAAAACTATTACAGGTAAGTATTAGAGGCTCCTTAATATGCCATTACTTTTACAGTAATATATATATATATAAACTTTGATGTAATAATTGTGTTTTAAAAGGATCTTACTCCCAACACCATCCTGATAAAAGAGAAAGAAAACTACCTTAATGATGTGTGGCAAACCTTGTGCTCCAAGGACTACAAAAAATGCTACCTTCTCTGGCGTTATTTTTCATGTTGTTTCTTTGTTCTGCAATATTTTAGGGCAGAAAAGCACCATGTGGACATTTAAAGCCAATTGAACCAAAGYGCAAAGTGAGATTTGGCAGCAATATTTCCAACAGAGAAAATGCATTGCATTGAGATATTTATGATATTATTGAGTGAAGCAACAAAAACTATGCTAAGTATTTTTAGAACCCAATATTTTAGTCTTCTTTATTTTACTGAACCCTGGCTCCTAGTCCACTGCTCAGCCAGGTTAAATGTTTGTCATCTGAGCAGTGACATGACAGAATTAGTGCTACTACTGTAAWGATGCAMGCCTGAAGCCTTCCAAGCCAGTAAAGGAATGTGCAGCAGGCAACACCACATTTTTCACATTAGAAACCTGTTCATACATATTTCCACCTTGGAATACTTGCTCTAACTAGTAACACTTGCTTGACCAAGGAAAAAGTTAGTTGTATTGCAAAGAATGTTAGTGGCAATAAAATTGATTTCTCTTCACAAGCTGATAACCACCAGAAGCCACAAGCGAGTAGGGTTTAGCTATCAATCAATTAGACGTTTACTGTTTGGTAAGAGACAAATCAACAGCATAATGATCACATTTAGGCAACTACAATTACGTTTACCTCATCCAGATCTGTAAAATTTATCCTCTGACGGATCTTGTCAAGCTCAGCCTGATCTGGGACGGACATCTGAGTAGTGTATTTGATGTGGGAGAAAGAATGAGGAGYGCGTGCTTTTCTGCGGCCCGCTCCCGGTGTGGACTCTGGCAAAATATCGTTAGTCAGACGACTCTCCACCACTGCAGCAGTCAGCTTTTTCTTGTTCTTCTCTGAAGATCGGTTGGCTTTTTTCTGCTGTACACCCCAATCCTAATCAAAAACACAAACGAGTGACATTAGTTGTTATGCTGGTTTGACTTCCAAACATTAGAAGGCATTTCCCCCTACTTTTACATAGAAAAGGTAATATACAACATATAGCATCAATTCACTCTGGCAGGAGCTAGAACAAAACAACTATGTGTCATATGAGCTTAAAAATCTTGGCTTAAATTAAAATGTTGCGTTAACGCTTACATTATATGAAACAAATCATGCGACCACGTTTTATTTTCTGTCAAGTCCTTACCATATTGTTCAGCCTATCTTCCAGACTGCCATTGGTCACAGTCCAGTTGTGCAGCTCTTCAGCAGTGTCATCTAAAGGAGTGCCTCCGGTTGCCATGTCACCCACTTGCTTCTTGCTGAAATTCACAACAAAATGTACGCAGGTCACCAAACTGAAAACAGGAAACTGAAGTCCATTCACACGAAAAAAAAAAAAATAAAGAAGCGACAAGGTGATTAGTTCACCACAGAATATAAATAATTCAATTAAACACAATATGGAAATGCGTAGTTTCTGGTAACTTTAACTAAGCTAGCCTAATGTGTCCCAAATATCTCTGACTGTTGCAGCTAATGTTAACTAACAATGCTAACAAATGCGCCAGCTCGTCTTACTCACAAAATGTTATCCTCGGCCTTTAATTTACGAACAGCTCCCAACATAATATCACTAATGCCGCATTTTTGGGCGTTAAGGTTGTGACTAGTCCGTGTTAGCTGCCCTTTGTTTTGTGGCCCGCTCGGAAACCCGGGGAAAGATGTAAACCTGCACGAACCGACTGCGCGAGGACGGACTAGCATGCACGAGCTCAACGAAGTCCGTCAAGAAGCTGTAGCTGCTGCCGAGGGGGAAAAAAAGCGAAATCAGCAGTGGCCGCTCTTGTGGTTAGCTCGAACTATAACCACCACTGAAAAAAAAAAAAAAAAAAAACGCATTATTCTTGGTGAACTTCACTGGCAAATCATTTGTGACCTGTTTTACGACCAACACTCGCCATGGCAACACACTCCATTCACTGCACGGTTCCTTAAAAATGCTAACACGTCTCTTCAAGTGGACAAGCTTGACTCTTTAGAGGCTAATAATCTAATAGCGTAATATAATTTGTTTACAACTGACCCAACTTAAAGTGTATAAGATATACAGGTGATGGAAAACAGCATTTTGTAGCATTTGCAAAGATGAGCTTTAAAGTGAAAAAGATTGTTTACCTCGCGAAGTGACTGTTCGCATACCAAAAGAGCTAACAAGTTAATGCAACGCAGGTGTATGGCAAACCGAATTACCATTTATTTGTTAGACAGGATAGTCAAAACATACTGTACATGATTAGGTCATTATCAGAAAGAACATTTCAGCTAAACAGAATGCTGTTTACAGAATATATCATTGAGGTATTTTAGCTTTCAGCTTCAAAATTTTAATTTATTTATTTAAAAGGACTGTACGTTAATCAGTATTTTAGTACTAAAATGCACCAAAATCACCACAGCAGCTCGATTGCATTTGTTGTCCTGATCATCGTCCATTGAACTGAGCATGGCTTATTCACAAATACACCTATCCAATCTGGACACTAAGAAAACTACTAAATGCAATGAAAACTTTTCTTTTTAGATATCTATTATCTTATTTTTACCTGTCCTAAATTTTGTTTTGGAATAAAAACAACACCCAATATATCCTGATGCATCTCAGTAATCCAGGTTAAAAAAAAATCAAAAAGAAAAAAATTGTACAGGTCTTCTGGACACCCAATATAATGTTAAAACTGACAACAGGGACATCCAACATACACATTATGACTTACTAAAAAATAATTTAAGACATCACATCAGTAATTATAATAATGACCAGTGACAATAGTTACACATAGGGACTATGTCTCTCGGCTGGCCTGGGAACGCCTTGGAGTTCCCCCGGAGGAGCTGGAAGAAGTGGCTGGGGAGAGGGAGGTCTGGGCCTCCCTTCTGAAGCTGCTGCCCCCGCAACCCGACCCCGGATAGGCGGAAGAAAATGGATGGATGGATGGATGGACAATAGTTACATCAAAATTATCTAAAATGTTTTGAATTTGAATTTAAAAATAATGAATTGGATGCTATTTTAACATAAAACATGAGTGTTTATTTATTAATAGAAAAATAATGTTTCAAAGGTCTAAAATCTTGATTGAGAATAGGAAGAAAGCTCTTCTCAATATCTGATTTATTTAAAAACAAAAATTCTACCTCACACATAACAATAATTGTTAAACTGACCACTTCAATTTTTAGGGATTGAATTGTTTTTCCAAATATAATCTGAGTTGCTATTGAGTCGTAAGAATGAAATTTTGACTAAGATGAAATGCTATCAAAAATGATACAGGCGTCGTTTTGTTTTATGTTACAAGGGCCTGCCATACTTTATCGGTTTTGTTTTCTGCCTTCGCAAACTTAGCTTACGGTTCAAGAAAATAAATTATGCTGTTATCGGTTTGAAATTGAAAGGGTTATTGGCGCCTTCTTGGACTTACTTGATTCCAGTAAATGCATTGCATTTTTTCTATTTTTGTTGAAAGGCGTTTTATTTAACTTACTGATGCAAGCGGACATTATCATCCTCGAACAGCAGGGGGCGATACTCAGAAATATAGGTAAAGAAAATCGACTGCAGGAAGTGCATTTTCAGGAAATGGTCGTTGTCGTTTTCTGTTCGTTTGTTGAAGTGTTAAACTCTAAATACAGGGGGTTGAATGCAGAAGCTGACGGGACAAAAATGCATTAAGCCAAACACGCTAACTTAGCGTGTTCGCCACTGATGTTGGATTCCGAAAACAACATCCCGCTGTTTCGTCTTTGAACTGAGTGAGTTGTGTCCTCGTGAGTGTTAGCATTTAAAGCTAGCTCAAAGCTAATCAGACGGCGAGCGTTCACAGCATTTTCCCCGATAAAAAACATTTCAGTAGACCGTACTCAAGTGGAGTTTTACGCAGCTGGACTTTTACATCAGTGAGTACAGCAAATAATGGGCTCTTCAAAGAAACACAAGGAAAAGAGTCGCGACAAGGACGCAGAAGAGCGCCGTCGAGAACATAAGAAGCATAGGCACAAGGAACGAGAGCGGGACAGAGACGGCTCAGATCGAGATGGAACTCGGGATAAACGAAAGCGCTCCAGATCCAGAGAAAAGGGCGGACGAGATAATCGAGGCAAAGGCGAGAGAAGCAGCGGGGAGCCTCGCGTCAAGAGGGAGAGAGTGGATGTTGGGTATGAGGAAAGCAGCGCCGCGGTGCACCCCCAGAGTGCGAGCGGAGACGCGTCTCTCAGCATCGAGGAAACAAACAAACTCCGAGCCAAGCTGGGCCTGAAGCCTCTGGACCTAAATGAGAACAAGAAAGAGCTTGGCACCAAAGAGGAGCCTGTGGTGGCAGAAACCATCAACCCCGTTGTCATTCAGCAACAAAAAGAGATGAGAGAGAAGCTCGCAGCCATGAAAGAAAAACGCTTGCTCAATCAGAAGCTGGGGAAGGTCAAAACTCTCGGCGAGGATGACTGGTTGGACAGCACGACTGCTTGGATTGCGAGGAGCAGAAAACTGGAAAAAGAAAAAGAGATGGCAGAGAAAAGAGCCAAGCTCCTCCAAGAGATGGATGAAGAGTTTGGCGTCAGCAGCCTGGTAGAGGAGGAGTTTGCTCAGAGTAAACTGGAATCTTATTCTTCCCGAGATCTGAAAGGCCTCAAAGTGCAGCACCAAGTCGAGTCCTTCAAGGAGGGCCGTACTACTATCCTGACTCTCCAAGACAAAGGTGTGCTTGAAGAGGAGGAAGATGTGCTCGTAAACGTGGAAATAGTGGACAAGGAGAAAGCTGATAAAAACGTGGAGTTAAAGAAGAAAAAGCCTGACTACAAGCCCTACGAAGAAGAGGAGAGCGTGGATGACATGGTTACGTTTAAATCCCGCTCGGTGCTGTCGAAGTACGATGAAGAAATCGAAGGTGAAAAGAAAAAGAGCTTCAGATTGAGCACGTGGGGCTTTGCCGATGGAGAGCGAGAACGAGAGCTCCAGGCCATGAAAGAAACACTGCGAAACCAGGCCCAGTCTTTGGAAATGCCTGCTCTGACTATTGCTTCAGAGTATTACAGCCCTCAGGAAATGGTCGGCTTTAAAAAGACAAAACGTCGCGTGAAGAAGATCAGGAAGAAGGAGAAGATGCCAACAGTTGCAGAGGAGCTCCTTGATGACACCCGCAGCTCTGATTTTGGCTCCAGAACACGCGGCCGCGGCCGCAAACAGGCGAWTGATGCTGATGATAACAACGACGGAGAGACGGTGGGCGAGTACGACAGATGGCCACATGAAATCCCTCAAATGTCCGATGACGTGAGGACGGCAGAGATGGATATAAGCGATGAAGATGATTTTGAACCTCCGGAGTCAGCTGTGATCGAGGAGGATGAGGCAGAGCAGGAGCTGCAGAAACAGCTGGAGAAACAGAGGAAGCTGAGACAAAAGAAGCTTCTCAAAGACTCTGGGGAGAAGGTGGCAGAACAGATCAGGGGCTTTGTCAAAGGTGAGGACGAAAACGATCCTGAAAAGAGAAGCAACATCGTCTTCAATGCCACCTCAGAGTTTTGCAGAACTCTGGGTGATATTCCAACTTATGGACTGTCTGGCAACAGGGAGGACCAAGAGGATATCATGGACTTTGATCAGGAAGAAGAGAAAGATGATGCTGGAGATTTAGACTCCGAAACAGATGAGAATGTTGGATGGAGCACAGTTAATCTGGATGAGGAGCAGCAACAGGCCGATTTGTCCACCGCCTCTGCCACAATTTTGGACGAGGAGCCCATTGTCAACTCCGGCCTTGCAGCTGCGTTGCTACTTTGCAAAAATAAAGGTCTCCTGGACACTCAAATGCAAAAAGTAGCTCGTGTTAAAGCCACAAAAGGCTCTCTGCCTAATGACAACTACTGCATCGAGGACAAGATGGGCTTTGAYGACAAGTACAGCCGCCGGGAGGAATACAGAGGTTTCACCCAGGAGTTCAAGGAAAAGGACAGCTACAAGCCTGATGTCAAGATCGAGTACGTAGATGAATCTGGGCGGAAACTCACCCCAAAAGAGGCTTTCAGGCAGCTGTCTCACCGCTTCCATGGAAAAGGCTCTGGAAAGATGAAGACCGAAAAGAGGATGAAAAAGCTGGAGGAAGAGGCGCTGCTGAAGAAGATGAGCAGCAGTGATACTCCTCTTGGGACGGTGGCTTTGCTCCAAGAAAAACAGAAATCTCAGAAAACACCGTACATTGTGCTCAGTGGGAGTGGGAAGAGTATGAATGCAAACACCATCACTAAATRAATAAATACTGAGGGCAAATATTCTGTGTGTAGTGCAAAGACAAACATGCGTATAGTCATAGAAATATTGCTACAGTTTCTTTTCTTTTTTTGTTGATTTAATTAGCAATATAACGATGTAAGAATTGGTCAATAAAAATTGTGCATGTATAAAATCAGTTATCCTGTAAATTTGTTAACAGTAATTACAAAAGCAATTTTTTTTTGAAGAGCTTTACATGTTGCATTCAGTGGTTTGAATTTTACCTTGAAAAGTTAAAACTTCATATTAGAAAATGGGTTACTGATCTAAATGTTCATTGCATACATAATTACAACTTTAGGATCTAAGTAAAATTGAGCAAAACATTGAAGATTAATGGCAGCCTGTTTTTCAAAATTTAGAACTGGAATAAAGATAATGGGATTTTTTTTTAATGCTGATTAGATTCTGTTTTATATCAGTTTTGCTGAATACAACTGTTAACTGTTATCTGCACAAGGTTGAAAGCATTTTATGTCAGCCTTGAGATACACAAGCGTTTAGGAAATGCAACAAAATTAGTTGAAATGACATGTCATTTTTAATTGTTGAAAAGTTATTTATCTGTCCTTCCATTCTGAATAAAATCATTTTACCTGTGATTAGTTTTTTTACTCATCAATTTAATTTGCTTGGGAATTATAAGTATTTGTGGTTTGATGGTAATGTAAAAGTTTTGAAATTACATTTATATCATAATATAGTTTTTAGTGTTAACATTTACAAATTGATACCAAAAATATCTACCATGTAACATGTTGCGTGTAATGTTTACAAGTAACACTATAAACATTYAGATTTAATTGTGAATAAAAATAGTTGTTTTCAATCACGTGAAGTACATTATTTACATGGTGGCATGTATATGCTTTTAAAAACAACATAATTCGTATTTTGTAGCATTTAAATGTAGACTACAAGTACATCTAATTTAAAAACTTAATTTTTTTGCCCCTAGTCATCATCGGAACGTTTATCGATGTTGGTCGGATTGGCCGGACCCCCATTCTGATGCACAACCTGTAGCATTTTAGTTAGCTTAGCTAGCACTAATGATCTAACGCCGCTTCGACAGCAGCCAGAAGGAAATGCTCGTTGAGAGGTAAGAGGTGAACGGTGGGGCTATGTGGGCTTGTCTCAGATTTAATTATTAAATGCTCGATGGGACGACAGAAAGCTGCATGGCTGAAAATGTTAGCATAAGTCGACGTGTGTAAGCTTGTTTTCCAGCTTCCTCCTGTCATCAAGCTCGCTATGTGTGAGCTTAGTGTTGAACAGAGTTTAAGTAGCTTTGATGTTTGGAGCTGGCATCGGTTTCCTCGTCGTAACTTATCCCACAGTATGCCGGCTGTGTTCGCGACACTTGTATATCGTCTTAGCAAAGACTAGTTGGCTTTGTTTACTAAAATTATCTGGTTTCTCTGTAAAGTACGTAAATGATACTTGGCTAAGTGCTTGTTTTGAATCATTCATGTCATAGCTTCTCAGTTTGTTTATGGCTTATAGTTGTGTAAAACTCAGCCAAACTGCAGTGCAAACCGTGAGTTATTTCTTCAAATAATCTTTTTATTAGTAAAACGTGATGCAAATTTTTAGGGTGCTTTACTGGTTGTGTTTATGTAGGGAAAATATAATCGGCTTCAGTGTTCGACAAATCATTTTATAAATAAGTAATTATAATTCTCATGGAGAAAGAAAGTTGATTGCTATATATAAAACTAAATTTACTTTAGAGTTCAGAAGTTATTTTTTTCTCTCTCCAATGTTCAGTTTTGTTGACTCATAAAATATGTATGGAGTGAAGTCATGAACCAGTGTGTGCACTTCTAAAGTAYCCCTCCTCTGACATGTTGTTGACTTTATAAAAGGACATATTTTTTTCTGTTGGTGATGACTTTGGTATGCAWTTCATGTGACAAAACTCCAATAACTTCCTAAATCTTGTTAATATYCCATCACTCCCCAGGATCTAACATCATTCTGTGAAAGCACAGGCTATTGTGATGTCGGAGCCTAAGTCACCTACTCCTCCTACCCCTGGTGACACATACAAAGGCTGGCTCTTTAAATGGACTAATTACATCAAAGGTTACCAGAGGCGATGGTTTGTTCTCAGCAATGGTTTGCTGTCTTACTACAGGTACATTAAAATATAAGTCTCCTACTATACTTATAATGCTGTGTATTCAGTTCATCTATTAACACACTAAACACTGACAGGGATACTCAAAGATCAATAAAGTTTTTTATGTTGGTGGTAAATTATAATTCAAACAAGTGGTTGTAACGCCACATTAATCTGACTTATTTTCATCTGTCTCCAGGACTCAGGCGGAGATGGGTCACACATGCAGAGGCACAATTAACCTGGCCACTGCCAACATTGCTGTGGAGGACTCGTGCAGCTTTGTCATTTCCAACGGAGGTGCGCAGACCTACCACCTGAAGGCCAGCTCAGAGGTCGAGCGCCAGCGATGGATCACTGCGCTGGAACTCGCCAAAGCCAAGGCGGTCCACATGCAGGCTGAATCTGGTGAGAAGGAAACCTGAAAGTGTTTGGAGGGTGTGTTAGTGGGACTCACAGTGTTACTAAACAAAGTTTCGTATAGATTTATACTTCTTCTTACTTATTCACCCTTTCCTTTTTAACAGATGACTCCGGTGATGATTTCCCAGCAGCGCCCCCCGCCTCAGGGCAGGGCGGAGGCTGTCGTAACTCAGAAATCCAATCCACGTTACGTACGCTGAGCAGCAAGGTGGAGGATCTTTCCACCTGCAACGATCTTATTGTCAAACATGGATCGGCCCTCCAAAGGTACCAGTTACCCGAGGAATACTGTACAAGAGAAATAAAGCTGCTGCGAAGTATTTGCTTGCCTTTTTTTTATTTACTCATCGAGTTTCTCTGCTTTAAAAACCCAGGTCTTTGTCAGAACTGGAAGGGCTGCGTGTTGGCAGTGGGGACATGGGGGAGAAGATTAGACAAGTCACAGAGAGGGCAACACTGTTTCGAATCACCTCTAACGCCATGATCAATGTATGTGTTGGTGAAGAGAACATCACTAATGAGAGTTTTATTGTTATTTTTAGATGTTGCTCTTGTGTTTGTCAAGGCTTGTAGAGACTTCCTCTCCATGGCCCAGAGTCACAGTAAGCGCTGGCAGAAGGCCTTACAGACTGAAAGAGAGCAGAGGATTCGTCTGGAGGACACTCTGGAACAGCTCGCCAAACAGCACAACCATTTGGAACGAGCTTTCAGAGGAGCCACAGTTCTCCCCCCTTCATTCAGTAACCCCACCTTAGCAAGCAAAGGTGTGCTCTCTTTCAGCAGAACWTCTGTGTTCTACCGATCAAATGACGGCAAATAAGCCTCGTGACTTTTTTCTGTCTGTTGTCGTTTAAGGTGGTGGTTCAGGGAAAGGTGATGCCAGCGATGAGGATGATGACAATGAGTTCTTCGATGCGATGGAAGACCCAGCAGAGTTCATTACTGTACCTGCTGATCCCAAATTTCATAGGTTAATGTTTTTTTTATTTTATTTTTTCATAATATTTTTCTGTTTTGTTTCGTTGTTGATGATTTTCTATTTTATTTATTTAATATTTTATTATTATTATCATTTTTGTTATTCAGGCGATCTGGCAGCAATGTCAGCGGGATCAGCACGGAGACTGGAATGGACGATCAGTCTGTAAATGTGGTCCTTTTGCATATTTTCAGATATTTTTTATCATTATTAATTTATCAAGGCCACAGTAACTTTGTGAATATTTTCCATTTCTGCCCCATTAGCTGGATGAATTATCGCTGGCATCCAATCCAGAGTCTCCGCAGCCTCTTGAGCTGGAGCCAATCAGACAGAGGCGAACTCGAATCCCAGACAAACCCAACTATTATCTCAATTTGTGGAGCATCATGAAGAACTGTATTGGAAAAGAACTCTCTAAGATACCGATGCCTGTAAGAAGACTATCTCCACTTTGATACCTCAGCTGATTTCTGTCTTTATAATAAAATAATCAGATGTATTTTTTTATTATGTTTAGGTGAATTTCAATGAGCCCCTGTCAATGCTGCAGCGACTGTCTGAAGATCTGGAGTATTACGAGCTCCTGGATAAGGCAGCTAAGTGTCATAGCTCTTTAGAGCAGATGTGTTATGTGGCAGCTTTCACGGTTTCCTCTTACTCCACCACCGTCCACCGCACAGGGAAGCCATTCAATCCTCTGCTGGGAGAGACGTTTGAGCTCGATCGACTGAGAGAGTACAGTTACCGCTCTCTGTGTGAACAGGTATTCCAAAAAGGAGTGTGTGTGTGTGGCACATTTTGCACAACCATTTTTATAAACTTTAGCTCCCAACACAGAATGACGTCATCGTTATCATTGCTATGAGAGGCAAAAGTGTSTGTTAGCAAAATATCTCATRAGCCACTSGTCAGAACTTACAATGAATGTACCGCTACGACTGATTCAAGCTGCCTGAGCTGCTTTAACAAACACAAAAAACGGCTATACTTAGAATTTAGCGTTAGGAGCTGAGAGCCAACACATACTCTGAGGAGAGACTATGATTTGTTTTTAACATTTGCAGTTTACTGTTGGAGTCAGCTGTGTTAGTGAAATACCTCACAAACTGCAGGACAAATTTGAATGAAACTTAGAAAGTCATGGTTGAATGTTCAAATCAACATGGCCACAAAAATGGCTGTAATACAGCAAAACTTTACAAAGTCAGCTGAGGTTAATGTAGTAATTTCAATCTATTCTAAACATTAATGTACACTCATAATCACACAATAAAAGTACATGTTTAGRGTTTTCTGTTTTCTCACTTGCTGTCAGGTGAGTCACCACCCRCCTGCTGCAGCACACCATGCCTTCTCTGAAAAGGGCTGGACCCTTAGACAAGAGATTACACTGGCCAGCAAATTTAGAGGGAAATACCTTTCTATTATGCCTCTGGGTGAGTACGTATGTACGTGCTGAAGTACCAATTAAAGTTCCTTTATGTCTACTACGTGTTCCTAACTACTAGACACTTTTTAATTTTTTATGTCTGTACAAACATACGAAACATGTCAGGTATGTTTGTACAGACATAAAAAATAAAAAAAGTGTCTAGTAATTAGGAACACGTAGTAGATTGATTTTATAGACACAATGAACTTTATTAAGTTCCTTTATGTGGTGATTGTTTCTTTCAAGTCTACTTGTAGCAATACACACTCTAGTAGTGTACACTTTGGGTAAATATATATTGTATGAGAAGTTTTGGATGACTTTGTTCAAACCTGATAGTTTGTTCTGTCACCAGGTTCTATTCAGTGTTTGTTTGACAAGAGCGACAATCACTACTCCTGGAAAAAAGTCACCACAACCGTRCACAACATTATAGTTGGGAAATTGTGGATTGATCAGGTAACATAAAGCTATTATCCTGTACTTCAGTTTTAGAAAAAAWTAGAAAATATTTGTAATAGCACCAATCCCATAAATGGTTTATAGTTTAGGTTTTAAAAACCTTTATTTTTCTTTATGTTTTGTCTCAGTCAGGAGAAATAGATGTGGTGAACCACAAAACTGGAGATCGCTGCCACCTCAAGTTTGCTCCCTACAGTTACTTTTCCAGAGATGTGCCACGAAAGGTAGGTGGCAGCGTTTGGATCAGCCTGTTGCACGTCTGTGCCTTTTGTGTGATTTATTATTTTTGTGAAGATGAGTGAATAATAATAATAAAATAATGTCCAGGCCATTCAAACTGTTTTTTTTTTCACTAAATACTCAACCTTTTATTTGTAAAGATTTTAAAAAACTGGCAAAAAAATTGTGTTCAAAAGACATTTTTTGAATGTTTCTTCCTCTAATATAGATATTTTTCTAACACCAGTACAACTGTTAGAGAGATTTATGTTTAGACTATAATTAACTCACTCACCAGACAAATAGGATTTAGTTAGTATTTTTCTCTTACAGAGACTATCCTAATTTGATTGCATCCATAATGGAAATGTGTTTCTTTCAGGTAACAGGAGTTGTAACAGATAAGAATGGTAAGGCCCACTATGTGCTGTCAGGAACATGGGATGAGAAGATGGAGTTTTCCAGAATAATGCAAAGTACTAAAGGTGAGAACGGCACAGAGGGCAGACAAAAGACTGTTTATCAAACCCTCAAGCCCAAAGAAATCTGGAGGAAGAACCCTTTACCGTAAGTTTCGTTTGGAAAAACGACTGGTAATCTGGAGAATGTTGAGAATGCAGTACTAACGTACTATTTTCTGGTGATAAAACTGCAGAGAGGGAGCAGAGAATATGTACTACTTCTCCTCACTTGCCTTGACACTTAATGAACCTGAAGAGGGAGTGGCGCCGACGGACAGCCGGCGACGACCCGATCAGCGGTTGATGGAGGAAGGTCGCTGGGACGAAGCTAATGCAGAGAAACAAAGGCTGGAAGAAAAGCAACGCTCTGCCCGCCGAGAACGAGAAAGGGAAGTTGTTAAGGCTGCCAGCTCACCTGAGGAAGGTAAAAAATACACATATATATTTAAAACTTTTTATAGTCTATTAACCATGTTTCTGACTGTTTCACTCCTTATTAATTTTTTTAGCCGTTTTTYTTTTCAGCCTATTAATATTTGAAAAGCAATGATTCTTCTCTTTCACACATTTCATAAACGGTGCATCATTGTCATTTATAAATCTATAAACAGAATGAGCAAAGTTGATCCTCTTCTGGTTTGTTTTTGCATTGTTGGTATGCAGAGGTAGTTTGGTATGTGGGAAGTACCAAACGTCTTTTTTTTCCTAATTCAAAACATACATTCTGATAGTATATTCTCTTATTTTTACATTATCTGTGTATTTAAATACATTTTTAATAGAATCTTTATACTATTATATTTAAATTTTTTCTGTATAGTTTATGTTCACATATTTAGGATAGTGTATTAGATAATTTTATTATAGACTTATTTTATTTTTTTAAACGACCCAGTTCTACTTTACAGATATGTTTTTTATTATTGAGCTGTTTATCAATTTTTAGTTTTAATCATGTAAATTTCCCTGACAAGAGACAAATAATCATTTTATTTGTCCCTCATCAGGGAAATTTACATTTTAAAATTACATTATTATTATAAAATTATATTTTAAAGTCAGCCCAGACCATGTTGGGTGTAGTATCACGATGTCCCTGATGATTTTCTTAATTTTTCTTTTTTTTATGTCAAATTGCAACCACTCTTCTTAATCAAATCATTTATACTCTGAAAATTAATTAATTACAAACTACAGTATAACGACCTTGAATGTATAAATTCATGGTATTTGGTATCTTCTGAGAATAATCATATATTTTCATGACCCTTCATCCGTATTTGTCCGCTGTAGCCGATGCACAGGAGACTGGCACCGAAGCAAGTGAGGTTTCTGATGAAAGCAAGTATCAAATCAAAGTAGAAAAGTACCCTTAAAAGTGCTTTGTGTGGCTGTTTTACCAAGTAGTTGATGAGAAATCAGCCGGGGTAAAGACTTGTMCTTCAGTCAACTGATAAATGTGTTGTTTTTTTCCTCTTGGTGCTTGTTTAAAGCAACTAAATTAATGTCAGACTAAACAAAACGAGTATACATTAGACTGCAACACACGGCACTTTTAAACCCTAAACCTCAAAGTCGTGTGAATTGAGTTGTGGAWTGACTTTTTCTTTTTTTGCTGGGGTTTTGCTCAGCTGATACAGAGGACTCCCCTCCTCATACACCTGTTGCATGCAAGTATCCTCACTTTTTCACTTACTGTTCCAGTATTTATACAGTTCCAATCATTTCTTTATGTTATGACATCCAGAAAGTCATCCTTCATTTCTTTTTTTTTTGTTTGTTTGTTTCTTTGTAGCCCTTTATGGACCACCAGTCCCACCATACCTAAGCAAGTATTTTGAGATCGTAGCTATAGAGAAAATTGCGCAGATTAAAATTATGTTGCATCTTTTAGTATTTTAGTAAAACCTAGATTAGAAACCTCATTTTCGATTTGAATCATTTCAGTTAATTTTCTCCTTACACACTTTACAACTTGATTTATCTTAGTGGAAGGCAAAGAAGGTCCTTATGGAGCGCCAAACAAAAGCAAGTAACATCTGCCCTGCTCTTCAATGTCTTTTGGGTATTAGCTATATTTAGAAAGCAGCTTTATGTTGAATACACAAATCTAGTGCTGAATGTCTATAGTAGGTGATTAGCATGTTTTGGTTTAGTTTTGAGCATACCGTGTATTGTTTGTGTGTTAAATCCTCCTTTCTTTTGGAGTGCTACCCAATAATCTACCTTTTTGTCTGAATCAGGTAATCTGAAGACCAAAATGACCAATAACAACTAATGTGTACATTTGTTTCCTTGCYACTTGAGCATTAGGGCTGCACAATATATYGCAAATTTATCATCATTGCAACATTAGCATGCGCAGTATTCATACTGAAAAGGACTGCTTGGAGTGCAATAATTGTTTACTAATATATTTGAAGAGTTTTGATGTTGTATTTTTCATGCAATATTTAGCCACTCACGGCAGCTAAAGCTCACACCAGACACAAATGACATTAGCAAAACATGCTAAAGGTCACATAGAGTAGGAAGTACAGATTAGAAAGGGAGCGGGGAAAAAAGACACACATCACACCTGTTATCGCCATTACAATATTTACAAATATTATCACAGGATTTTCTAATATTGTGCAGCCCTGCTGAGCATGTCGACATAATTTGAGGCTGATACACGGMCGTAGCTCTCTAAAGCTTCCTCTTCATTTCCTGTTCAGGTGGCCATCCAGACAACTACCAAGCACTRTGGTTCGAGAAGATCCACGACCCCGTCTCTTCAGAGACGCTGCATGTCTACAAGGGTGGCTACTGGGAGGCAAAGAAGCAGGGCAGCTGGGAAATGTGCCCAGAYATCTTCTGATCACAGCTGAGTTGAGATGTGCACGTGAAGGCATGKTGAGCAGGGTTTCTCCCTGTGTCTAATGAAGTAATGATTTCTACATTCAAGAACTCTAAATTCATCCGAGCACTAGTTCCTGCTGGATCAGGGTCATCTGGAATTCACYTTTTCGAGTAGGTTCACGTGTCTTTGTGGTCACATCACAGCTGGTTAGTGCTCAGAGCTCCTTCTCACTGCCACTTAAACACTCCTCTACTTGCTACCCGAGCAGGGTTTTGTAGTCTACTACTTTATGATTCCATCAAAGACCTCGTTTGTTTTGTTTGTTGTTGTTTGTTTTTTTTGGTCAAGTGTGAATTATGCTATTTTGCTGTGAATCAGAAGCACCGGTGCCACTCTTAAAGCGAGTTCAGATCCTTTTAAAATGTGGTTCTGTGGAAGTTTATGAATAATTAATATTTTAGCTGCTTTAGGGAGCTATCAGAATGACCTCACTTTGGAGAATTAGTTTCATTCTGGATCRTTGAGCTCAAAGCTGGTCCAAGCAGGGCCAAGACCAACGTGGACTCTTGCCATTTTTAAAACAACTTTGATCCCAAGTGTGTCATTGTGCTWCACACAATCCCCATCAGTTTYGCTTTGCATTTTTATTCTGGCAGAAATAYTATGATGCTTGTGCAAGAAGTTCTACATCTAATTTCTGCTTCTGCAAATAAACTTAGAACTTTATATCAGTAACTGTAGCTGCGTTTCCATTGGCCATGAAAATGCGCAAATTAGAATTTCGAAAATAAATTTGCTCAATGGAAACACGTCAATTTAGAAAAAAATTACGTTTTTCGACAAAATGTCTTTGCGCTAGGCTGAGGTGGTATTTCGACCGTATCGAAATTGGTGTGTTTCGCAAAACTGCAATGGAAACACTTTTTTCGCATCACGGGAGTCACGCGATCAACAACCAGCTGTTTCTACTGGCGAAAAAGACGATGACGACAAAGAAGATAACAGGAAGTAGAAGTAGTAGTAATATCACAGAAGTAGTATAAAATAGTAAACTCACCGACTACAATTTCCCAAAAACACAGCATACGTAGCCGCTCCCAAGTAGGGAATTGTTGCTGGAAAGCCTCGATAAAAGACGCCGAYGTCTCCTCTGATGATGAGCGCTAGTGTCGCAGTAGCAATATGCTATGTGTTTACATCCATTGCCGCCATGTTTGTAATGACTTATCGCGAGAACAAATGTATTCACGCGTGACTTTAATAGCATTTCTTACTTAATGGAAACACCGCAGTTGCAAAACTGTGCTTTTTTTTTACATTAACAGAATATTGACAAAGTTTTGCGCACATTTGCAATGAAAACGCAGCTTGGGGAGGGGGTCCTGAAGAAGGGCGGGCCGCCGGGTGCGATCCTGGGCTGTGGGTGGGCTTGGGGCTTGGACGGTTGCCGGGGGCGGGGCTGGCTCTCCATCCTCCCTGGTGCTGCTTGGTCTCCTGAGTGTGGCTCTTGGTTCCTGTGGGTGTATGTGTCTATTTTTATATATGCCCTCCATGTATTTATCCATTTATTTTTCAGGTGAGCGGACAGATGTTGGGTGTGTGGTCCTGTGTTTTGTTGGTGTATATTTAATATACTTCTAATCGCAATTTCAATCTTTCTGTCTTTCTAATTACTTCTCTCTGTTTTTCTCTCTGTCTCTATTTTCTCTTCACTTAAAAAAAAGGAAACGCAGCTTGTGTGACCGTTTCTAAACTAGTTTCTAYGAACTGCTTGGAAGTTTTTGATATCCGAGTTATTTTAAGACAAACTAGCCTCTTGTCTTGACCTCATGTGGACTYGCAGTTACCTTCTTGTCAAGGCAAAAATAAAAGTTGGGAAGTTTGTTGATGATTTTMGTATTAAAGAAATGTGAAGCAGAACACCCCTAAACAAAGCTCATAGAACATTAAACACCATCAGTCTTGTCACAACTGGAAGGCAGCATGACCTAACATTGAACCGTGAACAGACATGCACTGTTTTATCACATCTAATGAGGACATCTTGTCAATGAATCTTGTTTTTCTACAACTCATCAGCCTGGTCAGAATTAAACTCTATTTCTTCAAATTGAGGTATTTCAAAGATCCATCTAAAACTGGTAAGATAATAATTGTTCATAAGCTTTCTACAGAACATCTCTTCAGAATATCTAAACTATTGTTTTAAGTTAACAAAATACTCAGTTTTGTTGTTTTTAGTGTCAGAGCAGTTTCCCTTAGAGTTTCTGGTGAATTGTTTTTTCCCTCTGTTTTTAAAGTAAATTATTGTACTAACGAACTTKTTTATATGTATTCTGTTTGTAACTTCTTTCTTCCACTCCTTGCTCTCTTTTKTAACTCCACATGAACAGGGTAGTGGATGTCAGGAGTGTTTTAAATGTCTGCAGATTTATTCTGTATTTAAGAAGTTTTGGAGTTTTTCCACCATGTCCTGAAGGAATGTTTTGTGTGCATCAGTTAATTTCATTACATTTACCACATGAAAACAAAGGCAGAATACATTTTGATTTGGGACCAGCCTGTAGCACTCTATCCTAACAGTGGAAGAGGGTCAAATATTTTCTCACCTTTTTATTTGTTCAAACAATTCACTTTATACAGTTTAACTACTGAGTTTTGGGGGTTTTATCTGCAACAGGCTATTTTCAGAATGCATTCTTTTCTACTTTGCAATATGCTTTTCCCTTGATATCCCACCTTTAAGTGAGTGAACTTCTGTTAAATTTAAATCTGAGAGTTGAGTGTTTGCCTATTGATTTTTAAAGTTATAGAAATAATTTTGCAGGTTTTTTTTTTCTTTGTGATTTTCCTCAAACATAACAGTAATAGCTTTATTTGTGTTAAGAAATGTGTGTTTTTGATGTGCTGTATTTTTTTTTTTTTTTTACCAGACAGCAATAAGAGTGCCTCTGGTCATGCAAATGGCACCAAATTAAATATAAGGACGTTGTGACCGTAGAAAGACTAAAGCTGCAAAAATCTCACTTCTGTTTTCCTGTTTGTCACTTTTCTTGTGAAAAAAACAAAAAAACAGAAAACCCACTCGGTGCTTTGACTCAGAGTGGGTTTTCTGTTATTAAGAAGTTTTTAAAAATGTCCTATTCAAGTGTACTTAAAATGAGAACACTCCCAATGAAGACACGTTTCTATGTAAATATTTGAAATTGTGGTGTAAATGTGCAGATAGCTGCTTGCAGTTAACAGAGAGTCTAAAGGCAGAAAAGCACTTTAAAGATTTTTATCTTTTGTGATTTCAGATTTGTTTTTGTCAGCTAAACAASTTTTAGGTTTGAAACAAAATTAAAATAAAATTTCACTACAGTATTCCTTTGAATTTCTTCACACAGCTTTTAGATATTYAACTGCGTTTTCGGAAATAAAAACTGAGTTTACAGGTTTCTGACTGTCTTTTTGAATATACCATTGTCTCTTTTTATTTCTTTTATAGGCTTCTTCRTGTTTCTCCATGATTCTGTGTATGYTTTGGTTTTTTTCAGCTATTTGCGTTTCRCCCTGTACTCTCAATTTTGTCACAGTTCACAACTTCTTTGCAGTGATTTCTTTAAGAGGCTTGAGATGTTCTTGCACTTTAGCACAGTGTGTTTTCAGATGTAATATGACAAATAAATAGCCAGTTTCTGAACTGAGCTTTTGAACAGTTTGTTTTCCCAAATCTTGATTAGTTATTTCAAACAAATAAAATGRTTTAAAATTATCTATGYATRTGATCTGTAGCGMTCCRTTTTCTGTGCTATTATGTATTAAAGCAGGTACAACAAAAAAAAATCATACAGTAAATGAAATGACGATAACCAGCTGATGCATATGCAGTCAGAGGACCTGATCATGTWGATCACAGTGCACAGAGACGTGTGGAATAAAAGGGCAGACAAGCAAGCTAAATTTAGATGTAAAATTATCAAAATCAGAAAAAAAATCTTGATTTTTATAATATGAAAGGACACTGTAAAAAAACAGATAGCATAGAGAGGTAAGAAAACCTTTATGCAGTATTCGAAATATTGTAGAAATCATAAGGGGCAAGGGTCCCACAGAGAATGAAATATTTTAATTAGGTTAAAGACGGGTCGCTGCAGTTTCAATGGAGCTTTTTCACTGCGTGTAAATAAATCTCTGGCAACTGTAATCTCTGTGACCTAAAAGAAAAAGCAGAACATGTTGGCTACTGTTTATGGTCTGGAATGTGAAAATGAAACGTTTTATGGCTGTTTTAGACCAGGCAAATACAATGGGGAAAAATGTTTTATTATTATTTTTAGTTAGTTAGTTAGTTA